ACTTTTCTTGGTCGAAGGAGTTTTGCCTCTAAGGCAGAACTTCCTTACAGGTGGTGTACAATTTGTCCCTTACAAAGATTGTCAAAATGAAACCCCGACTGGCCCTCACTCTAGTCTTAATCATCTCTGCCCTATAAATAACTGATTAGTTTAAGTCAATAGTGGTTACCAGCCTGAGTGGCTCCCATCAGAGCACAAAAGTGTCTTTAAACATGCTGGACAGAAAAAAAAAGTGGAGGCTGGCATCTCCCAGCCTCTCCCATTACCATTTCCGGCCGCAGCACGTATGAACTCGCTTCAGTTCTTTGGCTGTCTCAGGCTCTTTTTCTGCTTCCCTCCACATTGAAAACTCGGCAGCACATCCATGCTCACTAACACTTGTCCAGGACAGTAAGTGCGGCGTATGAGCAGCAAGACAGTCTGACCTTAATTTTCTTTTTATATATATATATATAGTCCTTTACATCCAACATAGAACGAGCCACGATACAATGAGTATATTTGATATATCGCCCACCCCTACTTCAGTTGTTTCATCACTCTTCTGTCATTTGATTTTTGCCTCCAGGAGAGCCAAGGCCCTTATAGATGACATAGTGTCACGGGGTCATGAGGCGCCTAATGGGCAGTCAGGTTCCATGCAGGAGATGATCATCCCCGCGGGCAAGGCCGGCCTTATTATCGGTAAAGGAGGAGAGACCATCAAACAGCTACAGGTGAGAATCACAGGGTACCTTACTATAACTCTATGATCACTTGAATCTATTGTACAAATTATAATATGGGGGGGAAGAAATCTGTGCGGATTAAGAGCACTGAAACAAGTAAATGGTGTAACATGCTCATGTTAGTATATATGGTATATTTGCCTCATGTGATTAATGTAACATTCATCTCCTGCAAAATCTTAGGAGCGGGCTGGAGTGAAAATGATTCTTATTCAAGATGGATCCCAGCCACCCAACATCGATAAACCCCTACGCATCATTGGAGACCCCTACAAAGTGCAGGTAGAGTACCTGCACAGTGGAGATGGTTTTGGCTTTGCGGGAGGTGTTTTATGCCCCTACTTCCCTTCCTAAACTTTGTTTCTTCTGTTGCTTTTTAGCAAGCAAAGGACATGGTGAACGAGATTCTCCGAGACAGGGATCATGCAGGCTTTGGAGACAGGAGTGAATACGGAGGAAGGATGGGAGGAGGTGGCGGCGGCATGGGAGGAGGAGGAGGAGGAGGAGGAGGAGGAGGGAGGGGGGGGGGAGGAGGTGGTGGCGGCATGGGAGGAGGAGGGATGGGAGGCGGCGGCAATGGCGGCGGCAATGATGGTGGTGACGGCGGCGGCGGCATTGATGTAAGTAATTGTTTATTTCAGAAGTTAGTGGTTATTTAGTTTTTTGTATTTAAAGGCTATTATTTATTTTATTTTTTTTCAACCTGATCACAACAGAGATCAAATTGCATACAATTAACTTAATTGAATGACTGTAGAATACTAATGTGTGGATGCATGTTTAGCATCATTTTGATTGATGGGTGAGACTCGACTGCTCTGAGCAGTTATCACAATTTTATTTGTAATTTTACAGATCGCTGTGCCCCGCCACTCTGTTGGAGTTGTAATTGGCCGAAGTGGGGAGATGATCAAGAAGATCCAGAGCGACGCTGGAGTGAAGATACAGTTTAAACCAGGTGAGGAGGATTTGCCGGCACCCCATTTCATTATGTCTAAGTGGTGTTTATGCATGGGTGGAGAAAAATATTATCTAATAAATCAAAACACCTGATTTGTCGTCCCTTACAGATGATGGTACAGGTCCTGAAAAAATAGCCCATATTATGGGTCCACCGGACCAGTGTCAGCATGCTGCATCAATCATCACTGACCTGCTACAGAGCATCCGTGCACGAGAGGAGGGCGGGCAAGGGGTAGGTGTTTAAATAGTTTAAGTGTTGATCTTGATTTACTGTGCTTTGCTGTGGAGCAGTCAAACAAAACGTACGGCCTGTTTCTTCGACAGGGCCCCCAGGGTCCTGGTGGAGGGATGTCACCTGGTGGGCGTGGACGAGGTAGAGGCCAGGGATGGGGAGGTCCTCCGGGAGGAGAGATGACCTTCTCCATTCCTGCCCACAAATGTGGGCTTGTCATTGGCAGAGGAGGAGAGAATGTCAAGTCCATCAACCAACAGACCGGTGCATTTGTGGAGATATCTCGTCAGCCGCCACCAAACGGTGACCCTAACTTCAAAATGTTCATCATCCGAGGGTCCCCACAACAAATTGATCACGCAAAGCAGCTCATAGAGGAGAAGATTGAGGTACGTCCAAGTGACTCAAGGAGCAGAGAAGGAATACATTGTTCTGCTGTCAAAAGAGAACATCCTCTTATATGAGTAGTTTAAATGTTTCTCTTTCCAGGCTCCATTGTGTCCAGTGGGTGGTGGTCCTGGTCCAGGAGGTCCAGGGGGCCCAGGTGGTCCAATTGGTCCCTATAATCCAAATCCTTATAATCCAGGGCCTCCTGGTGGTGCTTCCCAGTAAGTAAAACCCACAAACACTTAAATTAATTTTATTTATTTTAATTTGAGGGAGACTGATGGATAAGCATTTTGTGTTTAAACGGTCCTGTTCTTCTCTGCAGTGGAGGCTCGCCTGGTGGCCCCCAGTACTGTCCACAGGGCTGGGGAGGTAACTACCAGCAGTGGCAAGCCCCAGGTCCACATGACCCCAGTGAGTCCCTTCAATTCTTCCCCAAATATTGTTTCTGTACTTGCTTCAAATGTTCACTTTTTTTTTTTTTTTTTTTGGTTTTTTTAAAGGCACTTTGTTAATTGTTTGGGGTATATAAATTTAATTTCATTACTTAATTTATACCGTTCCCACCCCCCTCGTTAGGTAAGGCGGCAGCAGCAGCAGACCCGAACGCAGCATGGGCGGCATACTATGCTCAATATTATGGTCAACAGCCAGGAGGCGCCATGGCAGGCCAGAATCCTGGAGCCCCTGCAGCACCAGCACCAGGGGACCAGGGCCAAGCACCACAGGCCTCTGGGGGCCAGCCAGACTACACTAAAGCTTGGGAGGAGTATTATAAGAAGATGGGCATGGGTAAGTGGGATCCAAGACAGTTTTTTTTTATTTTGTTAGTGTGAGCTTTAAACTACAGGGTTCTGTCTGGGAGAAGGGAGTGTTGCTTCTATTAATTCAATCAGTCACCCTGATGTCCGTAGTTAACTGAAATGAAACTAGCACGTGACTGTGTGCATCCAGTATAAGTGTTTGTTTGTTTTTGTTTTTCAGCCCAGCCAGCTGGGGGGGCTGGAGCGGCTCCAAGTGCTGCAGCAGCCGCCACTGCAGCAGCAGCAGCAGGCGGAGGTGCAGCTGGAGGCCAGCAGGATTACAGTGCTGCCTGGGCTGAGTACTACAGACAGCAGGCTGCCTACTATGGACAGCCAGGACAGCCTGGACAGGCAGCTCCTCCACAGCAGGGACAACAGGTAGCACATCAATGACCAGTGCCTGAAATTAACCTTGTGGCTGCCGAGCTCTAGTAAGCAAATGTTCCCATTTCTTTACAAACTGATAACATTTTGACTCTGTCTCATTTCAGGCCCAGTAAATGACCGGCGTGGCCCATTGGAAGGTTGTGATGGCTCTCTGGACTTGTTTGTTTTTTCTATCAAGAGGTTTCATTTTTGGCTTCAACAAGACAAGACCACGGTTTACTCATCCACCAAGACATTTTCTATTCAAACCTTCTTTGTTTTTTAAAGTCAAAACTGAAGAAAAAGGGAACACGATAGCCCATGCATTGAACAAAGCACTAAACAACTACTTGGGTTAATATTCGGTTTGCCCCTTCACGTCACCCACACCGTGTAATACTTTTGCTCATTTAAAAAAAAAAAAAAAAAATGTGAAATAAGCATCTTTGTTTGCAAGCTAGCACAACAGCATATCAACATTGACTCACATTTAAGTGTTTTTCCCCTTCGATTTCCTGAGGGTAAAAAGTTGTTTAGCAGTATTTTGAATATACTCCGAAGTTATGTTTGTAAGAAAAAAAGCAACATTTTTGGTCTTTTTCTGTCTCCTTTTTCTTTCTTGTTCTTGGTACTTTTTTAACCTCATTTTTTTTTAAGCATTCCCAGTGTATCAGTTGCAGGAGTATTTTTTTTTTTTTTTTTTTTTTTCCTGCTATTATGATTTCTGATTTTAATTTTATTCATTGTAATTATTTTCCTTAAGAGGGCTGTGTGTGTCTGTATACAGTGTATGCTACTGAACAGAAAAATGTGTGAAATGTATGAGTTGGCTGTAAAAAGGCACAAACTGTCCTGCAGAATGTAGGTTGGTGTGTGTGCATGTATGTGTTTGTGTGCTTGACTGCCCTCAATTTGATTTCTCTCTATTGTTTTTTGTTTTGTTCCAATAGCTTCCGTTACCGTATGCTGATTTTTTTTTTTCTTTTTTTTTCTTTTTTTTTTTTTTCTTTTTAGATGTTATTTTTTACTGCTTGTTTTTAAATACTTAAAATAAAACATTGAAATTAACTTCTTTTTTTTTTGTTTTTTTTGGCTTGTGTTCATGACTAACATGGTGTTTGGAAGTTAGATGTTCCATATTTTATACGTATTGCTCGAGTCGTTTTAGATTAAACGCGATATCTGGCTGGTGTATTGTATTGTATTCTCGTGCTGAAAGACACACACACACACACACACACACACCCCTCTGGACCATTTCGTGGACGCCACTTCTGTAGTTCCCTTCCTTCTGATGGACGTATCCACCGGCGAGTGACGGCGGTCTCGTGCATCCCGGGGACCAATCGCGACGATCCTGACTGCATTGAGGGACAACCGTACAGTGGGAGATGGCGCCCAGCTCGAAATCAGAAAAGGACGATGGCAAGCAGAAGGCTCAAAGAAAACACAAAGACCATGTCGTGAAGCTTCTCATGCGTGGGAAGGTAGGCGAGAATCCACAAAACGTGTGACGTTAAACACGAATGGAGTGGTTCGTAAATAATGCAACACCGCCCCGGTGAAAGCCTTGGTTTCTGGGGCTAGCTGCTAACTAGCGCGGAAGCTAGCATGCAACGCTAATTGCAGGCAGCTGGCTAATTGGCCAATGCTACAAAGTATGAAAACCTCGAGTCTCCCATGCATTCTAGCTCCGTCTCTCTTTATTTGCCTCTCCTGGTGTAGTTTACCAACATGTTCGTAGACCTTTCGATGTAAACCAACGTTGGCGTGCTAGCTAAGTTAAAGCTCCACCAGAGTTAGCTTCAGCAGTGCTGCACAGCTCGTAAATACAACCTCAGGTACACCGTTCATCACGTAACGTTAACCATGTTACGTTACAGACAACTGCTGTACTGTATGTGGGCTCGAGCCTCTTGGAATACTTCAGGTTAGGTGTTTTACTGTGCAGGGCCTCGAAAGAAACTGTCCCTTGTTTGTTTTCTTGTATCTACAACCATTCAGTAATACTGCAACTTCCATATCTTCTACACACATTGATATGCTTCATGTTACACTGTGTAGGTGATACTTGTTGGGTCTATTCTTTAACCCACTCTCTTTGCCTGTTCTGCAGCTGTCGGGACAGTTTTCTCAGCGTCTGTTCAGGAAGCTGCCGCCTCGAGTTTGTGTCCCATTAAAGAACATTGTCAGCGAGGAGTTCCTGAGAGCAGGGTCAGTGTGTGTGTGTGTGTGTGTTTGATGCACTGTCTGAATGTCTGAATATGATCCTGCTATCCCAAGTGTAACATCTGTAAACCTCATTGTGAGGAGCTCATTAGGATCATTTAACAGAATGAGTATAGCTGAATATTATCACATTGATTAAGAAACTGTGACGTCATGGTCGATACCTGGGCTGCATAATGAGGTAAATATCTGTGCCAACACTAATCTGACGTATGCATCCCTACCACCTTTAGGATTAATATTTTTTTAAGCTGAGGCGCGTATGACAGTGGTGTGTCACTTTCTTTGGTTCCAGACATGTCTTTCTTGGCTTCACCAAATGCGGCCGCTACATTCTGTCCTACACCAGCGACTGTGGAGAAGATGATGATTTCTCTTTTTATACCTACCATCTGTATTGGTGGGAGTTCAACCTGCACAGTAGACTCAAACAGGTAAAGGAAAGGACTTGTGCTCATTAACGCCACAATGTATTCTATCCAAAAGATTGTCATACAGACAGAGAAGTGCTGTTAAGATGTAATACTATGTTATAACTGGATAACTTGGATACGTATCGTTATCTTGTTCTTTGTCTGATGTCTGCTTCGTCTCTTTAGGTCCATCACGTGCGTCTGTTTGCAGGCGAGGAAATCTACAGCGACCTGTACCTGACTGTGTGTGAGTGGCCAAATGACCACTCCAAAATTGTCATCTTTGGCTTCAAGTAAGGAATAATTAACACACAAATCAACCGCCTTGTGGGGCTAAATCAGTCTGAGCTAGAATTGTGTTATTGCAGTGTGTAGGTAATGAGTAATTTATATGTGCACGTGTGGTTCTACCTGCCAGCACACGCAGTTCAAGCTCCGTTCTGATGAACTTAATGATGAGTGATGAAAACAACAGAGACATCTACATCACTGTCGCCTCCATGCCTCCTCCTAAACCTTGCACTTACTGCTGCCCTGTTCCTTCAGCCACCACCATACGCACAGGTAAACACAGACAGACACGTAGATGGACTACTTTACTGTTCTCACTCTTACTCTCTCGCTCTCTCTCGTGTCTGACTTACTCCTTTTCTCTCCCCAGGAAGTGGGGAGTGTCTGGAGCATGGCTATGTACTCAACAGCAGGTACCAGGTGGTGTACCCGTTCCCCACTTTCCAGCCAGCGTTCCAGCTGAAGAAGGACCAGGTCATCCTGTTGAACACCAGCTACTCTCTGGTGGCCTGCGGCATCTCACTCTGCCCAGGTAACACACACACACATTTAGCAGTTTTCAGCGCATTACCCGTACCTAAAAGCAGCCCATGCATTTAAAATCTTCATATGTTAGACGTTGTTTGCAGATTGGATGCACACTTACAGTTACTGCGAGGAACGTAATACTGATGCCTCTTTATGACCTACATAAGTAAATTACACCTTTTCTTAAGGGACTCTGATGCTTGGAAAGCACCACGTTTGTTCACGTGGACCGCTAAAATGAACACAAAATGAAAGTTCCTTGTAGGAGCTTTAATGGGTCTAATCTCTGTTGTGTACAAAATGCAAACTTGGCTCCACAGTGTCACTCTGATAAAGATAAAATGACCAATTGTTGTACCTGAAACTCATTTTCTTTCTGATTTATCCACGCCTGTAAGATACTTCATTGTCTGATATTCTGTAGCCAGATTTCAGCATATGTTTGTGTCTCTCTTGCAGGTAAGCAGGGTCAGTCATCGCAGATCCTTTACACAAAGAGAGCAGCTCTGTCGAGTCAAGCCTCCACACCTTCCTCCCCATCCGTGGCTTCTTCTTCCCCATTACCTCAGGGACCCCCCGAAAGCCAACTGCCACCTAGCAAACCTGCTTCAATTCCCTCATCTCCAAGCCAATCACAAGCAGCAGTGCGAGCCCGGGAGTTTGCAGCTGATCTCTTCAGGCGGGCACAGGGAGGAGGAGGAGGAGGAGGAGGGGGGGGGGAAGAAAAGGAAGGCCAGGCAGAAAGGAGACCAGTTGATGGTGGTGAAAAAGAGGCAGAGCAGACACCAGGAGACAAAGGGATAAATGTAGAGAGGAGGGGAGAGGAGGAGGAGGATTGTCGAGAGAGGAGGGATGAGGAGAGACGGACTAGTTTACCACAAGCGGCAACGTCAGGTGGAAGCCACAGTTTGCCACAGTGCTCTGAACAAGTGATGTCTCCTGCCTCCTGCTCCTCATGCCCTTCATCCCCTCCGACCCCATCCTCATCCCAGGAGGTCGGCCCCAGCGAGCCCGGATATGTCAACTATTCACGTCTGCACTATCGCCTTCAACAGCCGGGGGCAACAGAGCAGAATGCCGGCGGTGAAGGAGGTGAGGGGAGGACACACACAGAAGGAAGGTAGAAATAACCCTCCAGTCTGCAGCTGCTGAACGGCGTTCTTATTCTTCTCTGTTTCTGTGTCTCCAGGTTATGAGGACGATAAAGTTCAGCTGCCTTTCACAGTCACTGACCTTAAAGGCCGGAACCTGCAGCTGGTCACTGGGCCACACAATGGACAGGTGCGTGTTAGCGTCGGTAAACAACAACTTTCTATTTAAAGATAGTGGAGTAATGTCCACTATCACTACTCTCTCTCTCTGTCTGTCTGTCTCTTTCTCTCTGTGTGTGTGTGTGTGTGTGTGTGTGTGTGTGTGTGGGGGTAGTGATTCATTTAACATGTGTAAATAGTGAAGGGTTTTGTGTTAAATGTTAATGTTAAACCTTTAAAACGTTTGCGTACGTTTGAACCTGTGTTACTCTTGCAGAGTGTGTGCGTGGAGCAGCTGACTCTAGACTTTGAGTATCTTATCAATGAGGTGATCAGGAGCGACGCTGCCTGGGCCCCTCAGTTCTGCTCCTTCAGCGACTATGATGTTGTGATATTAGAGGTCAGTACACACACTATATCTAAAAACAATATTCAAACAATACACAGTTTTCCCTAAATACAGATGGGATTGCAAGTTCAAAGTCTTAGACCTGCAGTCTTTGGGTTCACAGTATTTTACAGAGCTATACACTAAATATTAACCCTTGATTGAACCGATGCATTACTTCCAGGTGCCGGTAAAAATGGGAAAATATACATTTTAATGTGTGTTGCAGTACAAACACTAAAAGCAATTTCCCCAAAGTTGTTGTGATTCTTGCGTTGAAATGATTATTAACACAACGGCATCCCTATTTACTACCTGGTTTCCCGTAGAGATATTTTAAGCTCTCGCGTTTCTGAGCTAAATAAACTAGGAATGTAGAACCGTCTGCATTTGACCTGGACCTGTGTACGATGTGTATCAGGTGTGTCCTGAAACCAACACTGTGATGATCAACATTGGTCTGCTGTTACTGGCCTTCTCCAACTTGGATGAGGAGCACTGCAGGTACTTGTCCTAAATAAACCCGAATCCTTCTCCAGCTGTGCATCCGACACATTTCTCTCTCCCCGCTAATCTGCTTGTCATTGCTTTTGTTCCCAGGCCCAACACGTATCACTCCAACCTGCAGGTCAGCTGGGACCTTAACACAGGTGTGTGTTGCACCGTGGGTGTAGGGGACCTTACAGAGGTCAAAGGTCAGACCAGGTGAGGAGCAACTGCCACCCCCTCACACACACCTTCTGTCTCTTTCTTGCTTGGCTCTCTTTATTTCTATTGTGTTAAACGTGTCCGTCTGTATCTCCGGTCAGTGGGAGTGTGTGGAGCTCTTACAGGAAGTCCTGTGTGAACACAGTGATGAAGTGGTTGGTTCCCGAGAGCAGCTCCCGTTACATCAATCGCATGACCAACGAAGCCCTCCACAAAGGTCAGTTGTATACACATCTGAGCACACATTCAGTGTCCTGATATCTAAACAAAAAATAAATCGCACACTTGGGCTGCATTCACACAAAATTAGACGTTACGGAGAGAACTCCGGTCTTCCCGTTCATTTGATTTGAATACGGGGAGTTTAGTCTGTGGCAATGGGGAACGGCAGGGCTGCCTGTGGCAAAAAGTTGAACCCCAATACACTTCTGGGGGAAAAGCAACCCCGATGTCATGCTGTGGCGGCCAATCACGTTACCAGCGACCCAGAGCTGTATAGCCCTGCCATGACGGAGCACAAAGACGTTGCTCGTAGCCGTTCGTACACTCCCTCACCGCTGCACAATCCCGCGAAACGTCTGATTTGTTGTGAATGCAGACTGGCTTACAATTACTAGCATGTTTTGCTGCACTTGTACTAACTTGGTGTTAGTTGAAGTTTCACAAATTTGAGGGGGGTATGATGCGTGTGTGGACCGGAGCAGGTAAATGAATCACTGAGTTGGATGTGCTCGGATGTTATGTTGCCTGTTTTTAAGACAACGGTTCCAGCCACTGTTGGACGTTTTTACAGTCTTGTTTTTTGATGTGTGTGTGTAGATAAGTGTGACTTTTAATTCACTCGCTCGTCTTCTCAACTGTAGGCTCGTCCCTGCAAGTGTTGGCCGATAGTGACCGATGCACCTGGATTGTATTGTGAAGAAAGAAGAAGTGTCAAAGCAACAGACACCGAAGCAAACACACGGATACACGTGGACACGGCCTCGTCGTCGGCACAGAGCTCCACCTTAATCTGAGCACACGGTCAGCAACTGAGCTTTGGCAACATGAAGCTCCAACACGTGTCAAAATGAAACCAAACAAGGAACGCTAGAGATGCTCTAAAGATGAAGTCTTTGGGTGGTCTGTGTTTAATTTTACTTTTAGTTTTTGTATGTGTGTTCTGCATTATTGCAACCACCAAAACGAAGCGCTGGACTGAACGAATATCTTTTTTTTTTTTTTAACTTTAGTTTTTTTTATAAAGCCGTACTGTTATTGTAGTGCGAGTGTTTCTTTTGTGTGTATCTGTAACTGAACATATGCAATATCTGCACCTGTGTGATGATCACCAAGAGGATTTCATCCAGAGTGTGTGTGTGTGTGTGTGTGTGTGTGTGTGTGTGTGTGTGTGTGTGTGTGTGTGTGTGTGTGTGTGTGTGTGTGTAACATTTGACAGATTCTGCTGCTTCTGAACAAGTTGTTTTCTTGCCTGTTCTGGACCCGTTCAGTCTAGCTGTGTTGGTTCAAGACTACAGTATTTAAAATGAGAGAAACTGAATCCAGTACCGGTCACTTGACTCTTTCCGATCTTTTTTTAAACCTACGTCATGGAGGTGGAGGGATGTTGGGGTGGGGGGGGGGGTTACATGCTGTATGTTTTCTGGCATGGAAGTACGACGAGGTTCTATTGGGATATTTTGTGAAAATAAAACATTCAAAGTTTCTTTGTGAGTCTGTTGATGACGATGTGAACGTTGCATCATGGGGCTTGAATCCCTCTGTACTGGCTTGCAGGTCTAGTTTTTACTTAATTTCTCAGGAATTACTGGATTGTTTGATCTCAAGTCACTCAAATATAAGGAAAACTAATCTGTTCTTTTCTTGAACTAGTTACAACTGATCGTGATAATAGTGCAAATGTTCTGGAGGAGTTTTCTAAAGTTTGTAAAGAATAACCCTAATGACCTCATCAAGGAACTCCCACCTGTACTTAAGGTTGGAGTGATTCGAATTTGGCGATCATGGGTCATTGTGACCTCACACAACATGGTTTTTGACCCTAACTCAAGAATTCACACCTTAATTATGACAATTTCACACATGTCTAATAGGATCAAATGTTGAAGCGAAGACATTTTGGACAGATGGATGTTAACTGCGACATGAGTGGCGGAGGAATACAACCGCGAGGCTGTGATTCTATCAACAGGAGGCCCGTGTTAGAAGTGGACATTTAAGAGGCAGCGACAGTTGAAGAAAAGATGCTTTTAAGCTGCATTACGTCTGAATATAGTAATTTTGTAGCTTGACCCACACTAAGGATATCTCAGTCTCTATTGCTTCTGTTTTTACCATTATTATTATTAAAATCTATCTCTCGTGAGTTTCCCAACATTATGGAAGTGCAATTCTAAGTATCTGGAGTGCGTTGGAGGCCCCAAAATATTGTAGGTGATGTGGTTGAGCGGTTCAATGAATAACAGAAATATGGCACAAGTTTTGAGAGCAATCGCATCCTTTTAGTTAACAGTGAGAATAAAGCTACAAACGTCGATCACACATTTAAGTACAAAGGTCTTCTGAATCACGTCAAGAGGATTTAGAAACGGTTCAGCAGCACAAATCAGTCACAATCTTTATAATGGGGACATGGCAGGCAGCAGTTTTTATTTTGTAGTCTGCCCACATGTTGATCCACTATCACAACAAAAACATAGTTCAGTCATCTGGATGGTGCACAATGTATTTCTTAAGGCAATAATGGTTAAACAACATACAAATAGTTTGAATATCTGACAATGTTCACAAAAGGTACATAATATAGGTTATCTACAAAATGTTCTTGGGTGGGATTAGCTTTGGTGTGTGTGGTGGTCCAGCAGTCTGTCTGTCGTGTGCGTGTGTTTGTAAAATAGAGATAACAAATGGATGATGAGTAGATAAAAGGTTGGAAAAAAAGTTGGATTGAAAACAGCAAACTGGGCAGAATCATCACGACGACGCTGGACTGTCAACGTTTCATTGTGTTTTTTTTCACAGCTAAATATTCATGACAAGACTACTTCACAGGACCTTCATTTATTAATCCACCAATACAGAATATATAGAATACAAGCTTTTTTTTCTGTCTAGGAATCTCTCAAAGGCACAGGGTATCTGTCAATCGGCCATATTAATTAGAAATGACATGAAGTAAAATATGGCATCCGCACATAGCTGTCAATCAACATCCAAGTCCCAACAAAATTCATAATGCAGTATCATTCCAGATGCTACTCTGAGATTTAAAAAAGAAATGTATATTTCAGCCAGTTCTGTTCACTAAAGTCCAGCTTCCCTGCATAGTCACTGCTTTAAAGGCAAGGTAGGAGATATTTATGAGTTTAAGAGTACAACGAAGAACACTTCTCATCTTTCCACAGCAATCAGGTCAGTGGTTAAGGCGGGGCAGGAGGGAACCAAGACTATGTACAATATAGTTGAGGCTGGACAGGAGTGGCTACAGGCAACTAGCCACTGAAAATAGGGAAGGCACGGGGAACGAGGGAAGGATCGTAACATATCAGGTGAAGGCAAACAGAAAAAGAACGGCAGCAGCACAAAAGTACAAAAAGGCTCTTCCACATGTTCACATGATTGCAGACACACCGGACGACAACACGCTCGACACCAAACATCAGCTGTTTGCAAAACCTGAAGTGTACACAGGATGTCAGAATGGGATGGCACGATGTTAAACTTAAAGCAAAGGTGTGTGTGTGTGTGTGTGTGTGTGTGAGTGTGAGAGAGATAATTCTACAAATGAGTAGCTACGGCTGTGTGCCGTCGGTCAGAGTGTGCAGGTTGAAACTCGTCCTGGGCAACTTGGCAGGCGGCTCCATCGGGTCCTTCTCGTCATCCATCGCACTCAGAGAGCTGGACTGCAGCACGAGATCGCCGCCCTCGTCCTCGCTCTCCTCTTCCTCATCGTCCTCTTCTTCTTCTGATGGAAAAAGGGGGCATTGACGTGGCATTAAGTGACCCGATAACAGGCTGACGGCAAAACTTGAAACCGATCATATTTTGTGAGGAGTATCGCGGTGACGTTACCTTTCTCCAGGTCACGAGAGATTCGGCTCTTGACCGCGCTGGCAAACTGCAACACAGATTAAGAATTGGACATTTATAAACATGTATCATCAAGTGCAGACAGATACTATGTGACTGTATGTGCAGACACGTACTTCTCCCATGACCGCAATGGGTGTCACTCCTTTAGCCTGGGCCACCCTGTGTTCTATCAAGTAGTACATGTACTCGTCATACAGCAAGCGGATCAGGTGAAAGGAGCCAAAGCTGGCAGCACTGCGCAGAGTCAGGTCCCGGATTACCATAGAGCTGGTCAGAAAGCACAGAAGACAATTATCTTCCACATAAAACCAAATGTTTTTATATACTGTACACAGTTTTTCTTTGTCCTCTCACCTATAGAAGGACCAGTTGAGCAGGAAGACCTTGGCAGCCTTTGGCAGGGCAACGGAGTTGTGCTCGTAGGGCTTCAGGGCCTCAGAGACAACACCGTCCAGCCAGGTAGCCCACTGCTCAAGAGAGTTCTGCTGCTGCAGAGTCATTTTAAAGTCCTGCTCCAGCCGCTGTACCACTTGGTCCTCACACTGACACACCCAGGATGCCTGCTCCTGAGGGAGGGGGGGGGGAGACACGGGGTGGACACGGGTCATGTTTCTGCTCTATTTCACTCAGAACACTAGTGTAGAGTCATAGATAGGAGGGTGAGATAGTAGTACACACCTGTACGTTAGTGAAATCAACCCGGTTGAGGTCTGAGAGCATCTGGTTGATCTGGGCTGTGTTCTGCAGGACAGCGCGGGCTGCCTGGGCCAGGTGGTTCAGGCTGGTATAGCGCCGCAGCGTCTGGGAGAAGGAGCCCACACACACCACCTGAAGGACAGAGGGAGGAGGAGGAGGAATAAGGAGATGGCTCATTTCAAGAGGCAGCCACAATAAGTTCACACTCTGGGCTGATGTGCATCCATTCACGAGACGACAGCACTGAAAACGTGTAGAATGCACCCCAAGACACACCGAGGATACACTGAGATCAATACAGTAATAAAACTTGAGACATTTAAGATATATTGCCTTGCCAGATGTGAACTGTCTGAACTGGATCTAGACAACATCTGGATAGATCTGAAACGCTGTTAACATCTGACCTAGAAAATGGTTGCAGAGCTCTGTCTTAATAGCGAATCAGTGCAGAAGCCCACAAATACCTTAATGCGAACCATCTCTTCTGGGATGTTCATCATGGCGCCTGTCAACCAATTCTCCAGACTCTTGGCAAAGTTGCGAATGGCCTGAGTTAAGGCACCTGAGGGAGGGATGGCGTTGATGTAGAGAGGATGGAGAGAGAGAGAGAGAGAGAGAGAGAGAGAGAGAGAGAGAGAGAGAGTTTATATTTAAACACAGAGGAACTTGCCCCCAGATTAAGTCCCCTTTGCTGTAAATCAGTCAATTAGTCTCGATTGCCTCACTCCACAGTTTTGTATACACGCCCCTTACGGGCCTTACAGACTTACTTGGGATGGGTCTCAGTACGTCAGAGATGAGGATCTCCACCAGAGTCTGGTAGAGCAGGTTGTCGCACTCTTTCGTCCAGCGCAGCACCGGCTCATACTTACACAGCACCACCAGGCACGTTTTGGGCAGACGCTTCTCCGACTCATTGTGCCTGGAGGGGGAGAGAACACCACATTCATACTAGTTACAGCAGTGGATGAGATGTATGTGCTAGTGTTTCCTTCATTGGCTGAGTGTGTTAATGACTCTTACAGGTTGAGTGATTCTGTGTCACTGCTCTGGCTGAACCTCCAGAAGGATTTCCACAGTGTCTCCACGAGGGTGAACTGAAGGTTGACCATCACGTCCAGAATGGCCTGCGGGGATCACACACACAATACCAGGAGGTGTCTAAACCATTACCAAACCAGTAGCTACATCAAGGCTATGACTTGTGGGAGTGGAGAAAGAAGAAAGCTGAGGTCAGTGTGCGTGTCCCGTCTTTGTCCATGACTGCCTACCTCACAGTGCTCTCTGTAGAGAGTCTGAAAGGCCTTGAGGTGTTCTAAAAGGATCCCATCAGGCAGGGTTCCATCTTGCAGATCAATGTCCACAAAGTCTGGCAGAGGCCTCGATGGCTCTGCACAAGAGACAGCAGTTGTTCATGGCTTGTACAGCGGAGTACCAAAAGTACAGAGGACACAAATCAAAAGTATTCTTTTCTTTTAAATAAAATGAGAAAAATGGTGAACATTTTTGCAGAGTGTAGGTGTTGCTCACCAAGAAACTGCTGATACTGTTGCACCTGCGCCGAAATATCACAAAGTGCCCCCGCCTGCAGCTGACCCATCCCACCTGATGTCCCATTGGTGATCCCCTGTGCCTTATGAAGTGGCTTTATCCTATTGGACAGAATACCCATCAATCAGGGGGACAGTGAGAAAGAGTCACAGGGAAGCACTTGGAGCTGCAATACCATCGTAAGCTAAACGACTGATACGTCTTCTTTGAATGGATCATCTACCACAAAGGGTTGATAAGGGACACCGGTGCGCGGCCTCGTGTGGATACCTGTTTTTCTGTGAGAAAGGCTGCTGCCTCATCGCCATGTGCTGCTGTTCATCCATCAGCCTGAGCAGTGGGGAACCAGATTTGATCCTCAGACCATAGTAGTGGTACTTCGAGTTCCCTCTGAAACACACACACAATGAGTTATGCCCTGAGATACTCGTCGAGCAAAATATATGTGTGTGTGTGTGTGTGTGTGTGTGTGTGTGTGTGTGTGTGTGTATATATATACCTGGTCCCTAATCTCCGCGTACGTAGCCCCATGAAGACAGACCTGATGAGTTTGCCGAAGGATGCAGCGTTAACAGGTTCTAGTTTCTGCTCCTGGCAGTGCAGCAGGTAGTGGTAGTAGAGGGTGCAGCGAGGTAAACTCACCCCCTCTGCCCCCTCATAGTTATCACACAGCCACTGCACCTAGGGAAGACGGACCGTGCCACAATTTTAATTTATGAACTTTCATGTCTCAGATCGTAACCAGTACATTGTTCCCTTTGAACTGGAGCACTCACAGTAGCGGGTGGGGCGCGAGAGTTGGGGCTGGAGAAAGTCTGCCCTCCTCCACCTGCCGCCCCTCCTCCTAACATGTAACCTCCCTGAATGACGTAGCCCCCTCCACCTGCAGCAGCTCCCCCGCAATTGGCTCCCGCTGTTGCCACAGAGACCGGCTGCGAGGTCACAGAGCCGGTGATGTCTGACTCGGTGGTGGGCGTGGTCTCGTAGTAGGAGGAGGAGGAGGTGGGAGGGGTCTGGGAGTAGAGGGGCGAGTCGGAGAAAGGGTAGTTGCTCGATCGACTGGACAGGAAAAGACGTGTAGGCGCACGCACAAACATACAAAAGTGTGACTGGGAAAGTAACAAGGTGTGTGTGATCGATCGTGCGTGTGAGTCAACATGCACACAGAGCAGGTTCCTCTCTACTCACATGGAGGACGTAGTAAAAGTCACGTCTCCTCCTCCGTCCACATACTGCACCTGGCCAGAGTACACATGCTCCTCCTGGACAAGAATCAAACAGGACACTTAATGCAGAATTCCTTCATTTTTAGCCACTTTAGGGCAGCAGAACAAGCTGTTAACGCAATATTAACATATTATTACCTTATAAAGTTATGGCAAACAGTTGCCTATTACACACCTAGGAGCAAGTCCAATATGCACTCTCCTTATAGCTCTGTTCTTGCTCTCTATCAACTCTTGTGAGAAAATCTGTCTCTTTAGCTGTTCCCCAGCGAGTCACTAGCTCTGTCTGCGTGTCATTATGTAGAGGGCAGATAGTGTATCGTGGCTTTTTAAAAGCTTTTTGGCAGAGAACAGCTGCCTGCTGCTGCTGGAAACATCATGGATCAGTGGGATGAGAGTGAAGTTATAAAAAACAAACAATAAGCTGATGGTAAAACGCTACACAAAAAGTCAAGTGAACTGCAGCTTTGGGGTTTAATTCAAATAAAAAGACATGCACTGTTAGTATAAAATCATAAATTGGAGCAGATTTTGACTTATTCTTTGCTAGACATCCAACTTAACACAAATAGCAATGAGCGGAGAGTGAAAGAAATAATAATAAATCAACTATATTTCTTCTAATACTCAGCATATTGTTTGCCTGAAGGAAGAGCGCTTTGCTCCATAACTGAGTCAAGAGGGTTTTTGTTCAGAGGAGGGATCGAACAGGCACAATGTCTGAAACTTGTTAGACAGCTTACTGACATTACTGACATTTATAAATGGAAGACCACCGTCTCACAACCATCCTGAAAAATAATTTAAATCGCCCTGAAATCATTATAAACCGTCAAAAATTCGAAACGTTATCCTTTTGCTTTGTTCGTGTCATCCGTAGAGGTTACTTGTATAAAATGACACAAGCTCATTCGCTCACTCTGCAGAGTTCAGTTTCCAGGTACACCACAGGCCGTAGTGATGGAGGTGAAAAGACATGCAAAGCAGGCAAAGCGTTTTGTCAGAATGGCCACATGGCTTTCTCTCCTACATTGCTCTCGTTCTATCTGCCTGTAGCAGAGAGCAGATCAACGCTAAAAGATGCACAATCAAATTACCTTTAATCTAACGTATTTATTGTATATTTTCTCACATGATACGAGACATGTCTTGTCTGTCTGTTTACCTCCTGGCTAATGTGCACAGACTGTAGCTTGTTGATGTGGCCAAACTGAGTCCTCTTGGCTGCCTGCGGCACCGCTTGCAACACTGACCTCTGCAGGTGAGTAAAGCCACAGCGTCAGATGGAACTATGGCCCCCCGACCATCTGCTGTGACATGCTCCTGCGTGGTCAAACGGTAAACTATTGGTGTTTGTGTATATGTCTGCATCTTACCTGTTGGGTGGGCTGCACTGGTTGGACCGCCTGAGTGGGAACACCGGGGGCAGGTGGGCTGGAGTCTGACAGGCTGTCGTTGGAGTGAACAGAGCCCTCTAGGGAGGCCAGAGGGAGAGAGCTTTCATCAGACGATTGAACAAATCGACAGAAAAGCCACCAATACCACAAGTTCAGTACTCACGACACACTGCTTCCAAATCGTAATAACAGTCACCGCAGAACATCGTACAACAAAAGGTTTTTTTTTTTCTTCCACTGAGGACAGACTGACAGTGGGGAGGAGGAAAGAGTGCGTATGTCCAACTCTGCTTTCATCCTTATATCTTGCATGCAGAAGGGCAGCCTTGGACAGCTAATCTCCCCAGATGGAGAGAGGAATCACTCCATCTTGTAAACATGCAGATCAGATGAGAGAGGGAAATGAGAGATACACGAGGGATGATGGGGTAGAGGGAGAGACGGAGGATGGAGGGTGGTAGGGGGAGAGGGTGGTATTCACTTCCTTGTAGCCTTCAGGTGAGAAAAAACAATCTACTTAAAACTGTTTTGCACCGTCCTGCTCTCACTGTGCTGCTCTTGTGAATCACTTTTTATTTAAACTACTTTAGCTGCAATGAATACGTCATATGTTATACTTAGAGGCTACAGTGTTTCCCTCAGGCTTCTGCCTAAACATCCAATTGGTCACTTCTGTCTGGTGGCAACTTTTATACCTCAAACTTTAAGTAAATAAAAGTGTATAAATAGAACAAAAAGCACAATAGCTAAAGTACACCTCTTTAATTTTGCATGATTACTACGTGAGCTGCATAACTGTACTGAGAAGAGCCCAGCTCTTTGTACTGCAGCCCGTAGATATGAGGGAGGTTTCAATAAGCAGTTATTCAGCAATCTTACTCCTTCATGAGCCTTCGACGTACCTCAGGCCTTCGAGTGTCACTCTGGGTGAAAGTGCAAAGTGTTACTTGATACCAGCAGGGGGGAAAGATCTACGAATAGACGGCCCTAAAATAAACATGCAGGCAGACACCAGGGTCAGCTCTCATATCCAGCAGTCAACACCATATCTTAAAAGTACCAACTCATTTGGTTTTTTAAATTTAAAATATAATTTTGAAAAAGCAACGGTCTGTAAACGGTCCAAAGCCTCGTGAGCATGCATTACATGAATTACCATAGATACTCGCTTATCTTATCTTTTGTTCAACTGCAGGGTTGCACACTTAAGGCCATGTTGATTAAATATGTCTTGTACCACATACTCTCTGTTAATAGCAAAAGCAGCAGAGTCGAAGTTAAGTCAGGTTCTGTCCATCAGTCATCCACGTTCCTCACAATGAATGCACCACCCACCCAACCAGACTGAGACCTCTGCTCAAACTATTATAAAGAAGGAAAGCAACTGGGTAGAGCTAGGAAACCTGTAATCTACATGAAACATTCTTACTTAAGTTAACTAATTATTACGTAGAATTTTGATCATTGATTTGTGGTGCTAGCTATTCGTGAAGTAAAATATAACTTGATTAATCGTTTAGTATATAATATGTAATGAAAACAGTGAAGATGACCATTCCAACGTCCTAGAACCTAAAGTGACATCATCCAATGACCAACAGTCCAAAAACAGCTAAAGATAATCAATTTACATGGATGTAAAACAGAGGAAAGCCTGAACCAGCAAATATTTGAGCTTTTCCTTTGATAAATGACTTAAATATTCATTTCATTATCAAAGTTGTTGACAATAAATTTTCTGTGGATTAACTAATGCACCAATTGTTTAAGCACTGTTTGATCCAACGTTAAAGAGATGGAGGCCCTGGTCACTTTAAAGATGATTAGCCAAAGATTCATACACACCTCCCCTCTGCACTGTTTGATAATTGGAATCAATCACAATGTGCCAGACAAACTGCCAGTCTCCAACCAGGACCCAGCCTGTTGCTTCTCCCTTCAGATACACTGACGCCTGCTCAGACTGTACTCCATATCCTGCCCCCCCTGCTGCTAGAAACACCTGTATGATGTGTGCATGCAGGTATGTGTCCCCTCCATCATAGTCTCTCACCTGTAACGGTTACTATGATGTACTGGGGCGAGTTGCTCTGCCCGTTACTCTTCTGGTCCGCAGCATGCTGTATTTCTGGGTTCACGTAGTGCTGCGTGGGCGTGGTCAGAACCTTCTGGCCCTGGCCGGTGGGCGGGGCCTGAGAACAAAGTGCGTCCTGTCCAGTTTTCGAGGCAGCGGTTCCAGAGGTCGGCGGGATCTCGGAGGACAGGAAGTGAGCCGTCGTCTTCGCGGACGAGGTCGTGGTGGCGGGAGGCGTTGCCATGGTTACTGCGTCGGCCTGCTGAGGCTGATGGTCCTCGGAGTATCCAGAAGTTGCCATGGCAACCGATGCTTCGAAGGCACGAGTTCTGCGGATAACACGAGAGACGGCCCTCATTAATGAGAGTGCTACCAAACATACATGTTATCGTACCCCTCTGTGGTGTGGCTACACGGACCTTGAATGTGTGCGCACGTGTGTGTGTGTGTGTGTGTGTGTGTGTGTGTGTGTGTGCACACGTGGAACACGAACCAGTGGAGGACGTGGGGCTGTTTGTTGTAAACCATCAGTAGCCTAGAGCGTTTCCTGTTTGGTCATGTATGAAAACCTGAACACCATAAATAAAGCAATGACATATATATTCAAAACAAGGTTCATTGACGTGACCAGAGTGTTTCAGGTGAAACAAATCAACTCAATGACACACTCAAAATACATGACAGTATTCGACCATGGACAGTAGCAGATATTATCGTCTGGAAATGAACTCATATTAATCTTTGGACCCACTGTCAGTCACAGCTTTAGTCCATCCCACTGGAAGATAAGCCACTCCTGCGTAAACCAACACGGCAAACAAGACGACCAGACGATCATCCGGCACACCGTGTGCAGTGACTCAATGTCACACCAAAAACTTTTTCAAAGTCACAAAAAGATTATGAAGTACACTATACACTCATAGCTCAGCATTTAGAACTCGTAAACGAATGACTTCCGGGAGCAGTTTATTCCTAATCGATCTCAGGGTTTCTGACGAGCTTGAAGAGTGAGTTGAGGAGACGAGAGTGATCGCTCAGCGAGGAGCTCCGTGGAGTTGCGACATTACCGAGAGCTACAGCTAGTTCCTCGTGTCGGATCGGTAACACATCTATAGCCGTGACACCAGACACGTCTCTTTATCATTTCATCATGATCGAAACTGTAACAACAACAACAACAAAAAACTGAACAATCTTAACAAATGAGCCAGAAAAGTACGAGCGGCACTACAACACACACCCGCCATCTTGTGCTCTTATCAAATATCTGACATCGCCATAACAACAGTGTGCGATTGAAAAGAAGCGAGCAACCACTTTCATCACTCACGCGCTCGATCACTACCACCGTAACGACGACGGTTACAAACAGGCACGAGACCACATACGTCATGAGAAAAAATGAAATAATAATTATGAGATATATCACTTTTTCACCTCTAGTTTACCCCAATATTATCCTTTTAAGTCGTTGAAGTTTTTTCCCTTAGATTTAGGTTGTTGTTGTTGACTCCCGTTGCTTGGTTCTTGTCGCCAGGACTACGGTGACTATGGCGCCTTGCCTTCACCGGGGCAACTGTTGCTATCCTCTCGTCATCGCCCCGCCCTGCACTAAATGCTGATTGGCTGACTTGCGAGGTGGCCGCAGCGTCAGTAAAATACCGTGCCGGTCATTGGTGGACAGCACCCGTCTGTCACTTTCACCAGAGCCGGACGTCAAATGACCACTTTTATTCTCACTGAATCTTACTTTTTAGATGTTGCTGCCGCCATTTATCATATATATGAGTTACATTAATGCAAATCTTTTTGGACTTTATTACTCTGTTTTCTCTGTACATTGCATATTCATTTTATTCTTAATACTGTCAACCTTTGCACATCCCCTATAATATATCCCTGCACATTCCTGTTTAGCTCTTTCAGTCTAAACTGTTACAAAATATTTTTTATTTTTACTTTCTTCAATTCTATATTTTTGTTTTTCTATATGCACCAATAGGGCTACACCTAAGCACATTCCTTATATATGTGAAAAGCTACGTGGCAATAAACCGGATTCTGATACCCCCTCCCCCCCTTCCTCTATAGGCTTGTATTAATAATTCATATTTTACAACATAGAAGTTGATGATTGATTTGAGTCGCTGTAGTATCACCAGTTGGCCTCTGAAATCTCTCTGTACTGTGTGTGTGTGTGTGTGTGTGTGTATGTGCCACTTGCAGTGAATACCATTGTATCTTACGCACCCTAGTTATCTTTGAGGTGAACGGATAGTGATCTCCATCCATTGCATGGCAGAGCAGATAGTCAGACGGAGATTGTGTGGTGACACACCGCACAGCCCAACTGGTGTAAGGGACAGAAAGGCCAGCAAAAGGTCACAGTGAGATAACCAAGAGCTCTGTTGACATCCCCTCTGGCATCATTTGCTGCTTTATCAAAACTTATCTTTTTCTCTATTTGCATTGTTGCCCGTAAAGGTCCCCGGTTGTATCTCTGGACATGACGAAGAGTGGAGGTGAGTTGAGGTCCTTATCTGAGATGCTGAGGCCTATAAAACGAGCTGTCCAGAAAGAAACACAAACGACACAGACACCTCAAGCAGCATTTGAGACACCTAGGCATCTTTTCCCTCTCAACATGTGGAAGGCAGCACTCTTGACCCTGGGGTTGTTGGTGGCCCTGGTAGAGAAGGTGCGGTCGAATGATGCCCATCCCGCTTTCTTTGGGGTGAAACTGTGTGGAAGAGAGTTCATACGAGCCGTCATCTTTACCTGCGGTGGTTCTCGCTGGAGGAGAAGTGTGGGAGACTCAGGTAGGTGTGTGAATGAGAGACTTTGGATACAAGTTCATTTTTTCATGATGTGCAGTGTTTTCCTAGAGTCAAACAGTAATATGTAGAGATTTGCCTCTGCTTTTCATCAGCTCTTATTGGGGTAGAGGCCTTTGACCCATGGAACACAAATTCCATCTCTCAGCTTACTGGCGAGCAGGATCCTGCAGAGTCCCAAGTATGGAGAGATCAAACATTACATGAGGCATCTGTGGCTCGCTCACCAATTTCCGAGGAGGTGCTGGAAGCTCTACGGAGTGCAGATAGGAAAGGACGGGATGTAGTGGTCGGACTGTCCAACGCCTGCTGCAAGTGGGGCTGTAGCAAGAGTGAAATCAGCTCTCTGTGCTGAGAGCTCCACTGTTTTCCTATGTAGCTCCTTCATTTCTTCACACTTAAAACTCCACATCCCATCCAACTCACAGGCCACGTGTTGACTATTGATGCAGGAATGTGTATGTGTGCTCAAAATGTGTTTACTGTTGTTATCACGTATTGACTTGTTTAATAAAGCTTTGTGTAGCTGGTCTGACAGTATCTGTTCCTCTTACAAAATACACACTAAAATGATATTTCATGCTTTTGGAACACTTCCACTTTTCTCAAGCCTTGCTTCAGAAATACAGTTTGAGTTTTGTCAAGGATTTCGAAATGATAGGAAGTGGTGGTGACTATATGAATAGACAGAGAGGCCTCACATTCACTGAATTATAGCTGCTTTCTGTGATTTTACAGGGACGCTACACGAGACACATATTAAGTGTGCTTTGTATCCCATAATAGACCAGCAACAAACTACCTCTGTGAAGCCTATGCTGGTGGACTCTGGTTGTTTATTTTATGAGATCATAAGAATTTGATAATCCTCCCTCCAGAGATCAATTAGCACAGTCATGTTGAGACATATTGTCATATAAACTGACCGTAGCAAGCTTCACAATGGTTGTAATTGTTGTTAGTGTGTAGGCTACTTGTGGTCATGATATTGTGTCAAGTAGCAGTTCACACAGATCAATTACACAGAGTTATATGCTGGAGGATTTTGAAGCTGACACCATCTGGTGGTCAGGAATTAAACACAACACTAAACGATTCAAATAACATATGTGTTCACATAATTTAAATATGTGCTGCATCTTCATAACCAACGAAATTTTAAGTAAACATTTAAAACTGATAGATACTGTGGCTGTATAACTAACGGTAAACTCAGTAGCCATGGTCACTCTGCTGGACAGTTTGTCCACCAGCTTTACGGAAGCCGAACATGATCAAACTGATCACCCGGCTTGATTGCAAGGCATGCAATCTCTGTCACCTACCAGCGAGCATAGAAACCACACAGACCCACAGAGATCACAATTTTGTATTTAGTTACACATATCGCCGATAAATTGTATTTAATGTTAATCGTTACAGCGTGACTGCACTATTATCTATAGAAATATAGATCTACCACACCGGAGTGACCAGGTAAAATCTTTCGCGGTACTTTCAAGATGATGCTAGGTAGCCATGCTACTGGTAGCTGATATGCGACTGCTCTGTTATGAGGATTAATGCGCTCCATTTTGCGCTGTTTTTGTTGCTTTGACTACAAACATTACTTTCATAGCGCAACATGACGTCCCGTGAGATAGCGTCTTGCAGCTGTGTTACGTGTGAACCTGGGACGTGTGAAGCATCATAGCAACGCTAAGCTAGCATGCTAGCTGAAAGAGCCAGACATTGGCGTCTGGGCCTCAAGTGGAACACGGCTGTCCACATCACGGTTGATTGTTGTTGTGGCTACTTATTAATGCAACTGTTACTTACTTACTAGCTAACTTAATGGACGGCTGCGTAGTGGTACTTTTAGGTCCCATGATGTCGCCAGAAACGGACAATGTTAGTCTACACTCGCTTTAACGGCATTGCTACATTGTAGACTGTAGTGTACAATTAGTGGAATTTAGTTCACAACAGTTACCGTAATATCGGTCAAGTTGTTGCTGTTAGTAACTACATCACATGCTGGTTGTACTGCGTATTTTACGTTACTTCAGCGTTACTTCAGTAGTAACGTCCGAAGAGTGCTGAGGTTACAGGTGGGGGCCAAAGGGTTTTAAGAACCCGTATATGTTGTACATGCTTCCTAAACAGGTTGTGTGCGCGTTTGTGTCCTGTAGGATGGAGTGGCAGCCAGACGAACAGGGTCTCCAGCAAGTGCTTCAGCTACTCAAGGACTCTCAGTCCCCAGACACAGCAACACAGAGGGCTGTGCAAGAAGTATCCTTATATCTGTGTGTGTGTGTGTGTGTGAGGGTGAGAGAAAAAGGTGTGAGATTTAGCTTAATGCATGAGAGCTTGTACGTCAAAGTGGGTTATGTTGTCATGCGCAGCTTGCATGAGCTGAGTGTACTGGTGTGATTTGTTTACGAGTCCATACTGCCCAAATGTCAAGCAGGATGACGAGGTATGTGAGGGTGTGTGAGTGGTTTGCTGTACGTGTGTGTGGCAGGTTGAACTCCTTAACATAGCTTGCAGAAACTGGAGCAACTTAATCAGTTTCCGGATTTCAACAACTATCTCATCTTTGTCCTCACAAGCCTCAAATCTGAGGGTATGTATGTGAATGTCACATCTGAGGATTCTGACAATGCAACGGGATTGCCATTGACTAATTGACCTTGCTTGTCCCCTGCTAATATTTCTGTGTCTTACCTTCTCTTTCCCATTTTAAACATTTCTTTATCCCCATCCTCTCGGCTGCCTTCCCCCTCAAGACGAGCCCACTCGCTCTCTCAGCGGTCTGATCCTGAAGAACAATGTTAAGGCTCACTACCAGAACTTCCCTCCCAATGTGGGTGACTTCATCAAACGAGAATGCCTCAACAACATCGGAGACCCATCGCCGCTTATCAGGGCGACGATCGGTGGGTGTTTTACTGAGGAAGAGAAATCTAGTGTTTGCTGCATTGTTTCCTAGCCAGTGTGAGTCAGACTACTCTGTAGGTGGTTTGACTTCTGTAGGTGATGTAGCTGTGTGGGAGGGAGCGCTGCATTTACAAGCAGTATCGAATGATAAATCAGAAATAGAAATGAATTCATTAAAAACAATAGGGAAAGGTGAATGAGGCCTTAGAACATTATGATGGAAGTATATGATGGCGATCACCGTGCTCTCTTATGCCTCGTAAATTGTTGCAGCAATTTTTCGGTTGATACCATTTGTCACACTGATTTGGTGCTAAATTTAACTTGTTGGTCGGATCACTAACCCATGTATAACCTTTCTATTATCTATCGTAAAGGTATCCTGATCACGACCATAGCCTCTAAAGGAGAGCTGCAGACCTGGCCGGAGTTGTTGCCTCAGCTCTGTAATCTGCTCAACTCGGATGACTATAACACCTGCGAGGTGAAGCTCGCCTACCTGCACACACTAGTAGCTTTGCATTGTTAATGTGATAATCAGATATACATCTGTGACTTTGTTTGTAACATTCTTTCTTCATGATTTTTCTCCACCTTCTTTCAGGGTTCTTTTGGAGCGTTGCAGAAGATCTGCGAGGATTCATCCGAGTTGTTGGATAGCGATGCTTTGAACAGACCCCTTAACATCATGATCCCCAAATTCCTGCAGTTTTTCAAGCACTGCAGCCCCAAGATCAGGTCAGTGAAACACCAGTCTTTAGACTTTCACTCTCCCTGTTAGAATCATCATCATAGATCCTTCTTGTTTGTCTCTCTTTCTCAGGTCCCATGCTATAGCATGTGTGAACCAGTTCATCATTGGTCGAGCTCAGGCTCTGATGGATAACATCGACACCTTCATTGAGGTGAGCATGACAAAATGATTTGCTGGTGGAATTTCCATTGTTTTCAAAGCTTGCTTCCCTACTTTTAGCTCCTTTTAGAGATGAAATATGTAACAACGCATCTATCTATTAAAAGGAAAATGTGTTTTTACTTTGGATACAAGTGTCTGCTGTGCTTAAGTTCTATTTAACTTTATGCGGCTTTATCCGTAACGAGACTGCATTTGTGAGATATTTGACATCTGCTACTTGAGACGAGGCTATGCAAGACGTTCCTTTAATGTAAAAAAGGAGAGATTGTTCACTGCAACATGATGCTGAACTATTGTTTTATCTTATTATTAGTGGTGCTAAAGGAAATCAGTCATCTAATTTTTGATATAATTCTAAGAATTCTTACAAATGCACTGTAGCTGGTGCAGTTTGCACAAACCTCTCTTCAGGGTCAACTGCGCTGCTTCAAAACCGTTGGCGTGATAAAGGCGCAGCATTGAAAACATCACTTTCCAGTTTCATTCAACAATATGGACACACATTCTACCCGATAGTGTTGATGTAGTTTAGCAATAAAGTTGGTTTGAATTGACCAGCTCGACCTTTATCATCAATGCTTATGATGACATGGTGGGGTATGGTCGGGTGTTCAGGTCCTTCTCAAACACTGTCGAGATGTAGATGCTGCAAAGCATAACGGATTAAACTGCACATGTGAAAGTTGCTTCTGTTAACTTTCTGTTAACCTTTTCCCCCTCCGCCATTCCTTGTCTTCCCTGCATTCTCTCTCTTTCGTCTCCAGAGTCTGTTTGCGCTGGCCGGTGACGAGGACAGTGAAGTGCGGAAGAACGTTTGCAGGGCTCTAGTCATGCTGCTGGAAGTCCGCATTGATCGCCTCATCCCACACATGCACAGCATCATCCAGGTGAGGGGGTGGGGACTTGATCTCACATGCAACTTTAAACTGACAATGTGTGGCTTTCCTTTCCCCCCTCCTCCTCCTCCTCCTCCTCCTCCTCCCCCTCCTCATCGCCTCTTGTTGTCTGTCACCAGTACATGCTGCAGCGGACCCAGGACCCAGATGAGAACGTAGCTCTGGAGGCCTGTGAGTTCTGGCTGACTCTGGCTGAACAGCCCATCTGTAAAGAGGCCCTGTCTGGCCACTTGGTCCAGTAAGTACTGACAGAGTTAAGTCGATGACATGGAAGTGAAAGTCAAGTGTTGTATGAGTTCCATCTGATAATTAATGGGGGTCTGTCTCTTTTTACAGACTGATCCCCACCCTAGTGAATGGGATGAAATACTCTGAGATTGACATTATTCTTCTAAAGGTGAGCGGATACATCGGATGTCCCCCAGCTCCTCCAACTTCTTTTTGTTTCTTCCTTTTTGACCCGTGTCCATCCTGTATTCACCTCGCTCCCTGTCGTCCTGCAGGGCGACGTCGAAGAGGACGAGGCAGTTCCTGACAGCGAGCAAGACATCAAGCCTCGCTTCCACAAGTCGCGCACTGTCACTCTGCAGCACGAAGGAGGGGAGGACGAGGAGGGAGAGGACATCGACGACGACGATGACGACGACGACGACACACTGTCTGACTGGAACTTACGTAAGTCACACACATTCTGGTGACCACGATGTTTACCATTGCTCAACAATGTTTAAAGGTTAGTTTTTAACCATAACAATGCTACTTTATTGATTGATTTTGTTAAGTGTGTTAACATTTGTGTTTTTAATGTATATAAAGTAACAGAGGATAGGTACGGTTCCATATTTACTGTGACTGATTTAAAATATTCTCAAAGGAGGTAAGCAATTAGAAATAAGAAAATTCAGATGTGCATCTTTACAGTTTCAAAGTTATCTAATGCTGATGGTTGGTTTGCTCTTCCAGGGAAGTGTTCAGCCGCGGCTCTGGACGTTCTTGCCAATGTGTTTCGTGAGGAGTTGCTTCCCCATCTCCTGCCTCTGCTCAAAGGACTGCTGTTCCACCCTGACTGGGTCATCAAGGAGTCGGGCATCCTTGTGCTGGGAGCTATCGCTGAGGGTGAGAAAAGAGCTTCTGATGTTAAAAGTGAATCAGCATATTTCCAAAAAGGTTGGACTTTTCCTTTTTAGATGTATGAAACTGTTTGTCCTTCCAGGCTGTATGCAAGGCATGATGCCTTACTTGCCTGAGCTCATCCCCCACCTCATCCAGTGTTTGAGCGACAAGAAGGCCCTGGTCCGCTCCATCGCCTGCTGGACCCTCAGCCGCTACGCCCACTGGGTGGTCAGCCAGCCTCCCGACGCTCACCTCAAACCCCTCATGACTGAGCTGCTCAAACGCATCCTGGATGGCAATAAAAGGGTACAGGAAGCAGCATGCAGGTACAGCTCTTGTTTTTTTCCGTACGTTCGACTCTACTGCGCGTTGTTTCTTTTCGCTCGTACATCTTTCGAACCCATCTCGTCTTTCCTGCAGCGCGTTTGCCACCTTGGAGGAGGAGGCGTGTACGGAGCTGGTGCCCTACCTGAGCTTCATCCTGGACACGCTGGTTTTTGCTTTTGGGAAGTACCAGCACAAGAACCTGCTCATCCTCTACGATGCCATAGGAACACTGGCGGACTCTGTGGGACACCATCTCAACCAGCCCGTGTGTACAGAATGCACAGCCCTGTTTTTCGCATGTAACGTATTACAATAAGCAGTTATGGGAACAAATGAATCGCGTGCCCAAATCCCACACTTGTGTTTTCAGGAGTACATAGAGAAGCTGATGCCTCCGCTGATAGCCAAGTGGAACGAGCTGAAGGACGAAGACAAAGATCTCTTCCCTCTGCTCGAGTGTCTGTCCTCCGTTGCCACTGCGCTGCAGAGCGGCTTCCTCCCCTACTGCGAGCCCGTCTATCAGCGCTGCGTCACCCTGGTCCAGAAGACGCTGGCTCAGGCCATGGTGAGCCACACTCACATGGACTCTACAGAGGCAATTCATGTTTTTCACTGCTTTACATACATGCCACTTCATTCCTTCGTTCCCATTTCTGACCTTTTCTCTCCACCTTCGTGTGTGTGTGTGTGTGTGTGTGTGTGTGTCACAGATGTACAGTCAGCAGCCAGACCAGTACGAAGCACCCGACAAGGACTTCATGATTGTGGCTCTGGATCTTTTAAGCGGCTTAGCTGAGGGACTGGGGGGCCACGTGGATACGCTGGTGTCCCGTAGTAACATCATGACGCTGCTTTTCCAGTGCATGCAGGTGAGGAGAGCCCATGTGTGATTTTTTTTTTTTTTTTTTTTCCCTTTTTTTTTTTCAATTTTTTTTTCAATTTGTTTAGTCGAGTCTAAAACTTGGTACTTTTTTTTTTTTTTTTTTTAAGTGCAAGCCAATATGCAGTTGGTCAGGTGCCACTGGACAATGATTCCACTCCGTTAACAGCGTGTGTTCACATTCGTCTTTGTCTCTCTGTCTCTTTTGTCCCAGGATACGATGCCTGAAGTACGACAGAGTTCATTTGCTCTACTGGGGGACTTGACCAAGGCTTGCTTCCCTCATGTCAAACCGTGTATTGGTAATTATCTCACTCAATCTCTCATTCACACACAGTACATGATGTTCCATCGTCCTCTTTTCTTTTTTCCGTGTGTCTAATGTGATATTTTGTATGATGTGCGTGTCCTGCAGCTGAATTTATGCCAATCCTCGGGACAAATCTGAACCCAGAGTTCATTTCTGTCTGCAACAATGCTACCTGGGCCATCGGAGAGATCTGTATGCAGATGGGTGAGTTGGAGCAAATCTACTCTTATGTGATACAGTTAAGTGCTTATGCGGATGAATATGAGATGCAGTGAATTGATGCGTCTCTCCATCAGGAGTGGAGATGCAGCCGTACATCAATATGGTTCTGACCCAGCTGGTTGAGATTATCAATCGACCCAACACCCCCAAGACCCTGCTGGAGAACACCGGTACGTGATGCACAGATATTTTACTAGCATTTAGTGTCATGCTAGTACACACACACACACACACACACACACACACACTACTCTAACAGCAGTCCTGACTCCTCTTTCTCCTGCTCCAGCCATCACCATCGGGCGACTGGGCTACGTGTGTCCTCAGGAGGTGGCGCCCATGCTGCCTCAGTTTATCCGACCTTGGTGAGGGAACATCTAATCTCTTTTTTTTTGTTTTTAATATCACCAGCTATGACAACTTTGTGGTGTTATTTAAATGTACAACATCTGTACAGTCGCCCTATATCACAACCCGTGTTCTGTCATCCTCTGTGGTCTCTCCCTCTTTCCTTTCTGAGCATGATTATGTTCGCTTATCCGTACTTGCGAGACACATTTTGTGGCAGTTTTTTTTGTCCCTATCAGGCATTTCTGTTCTTATTCTTCTCCTTTTCCCCCCCCTTGGCTTTTTTGTGCGATCACATTGCCGCAAACAGCATTACAAGGGCTGCAGTATTGACATTATTTTAATACGTTTTTGATTTGGAATCAGCAAGCAGTGAGAATGAAACGCTTATGTCAGAGTTTTCTCAAGCCTAGAAAAAAAAGACTAATGTCCTCCCACACAGAAAGGCGACAGGCTGTTAACATCTAATTGTTCTCATTTCATAGATGTTCTCTCGTAAACAAAATAAGAGGATTGTAAGTAGTGACGGCAACAAGTCTAACAGCTGCTAAATGGTTGATATTGCATGCGGCAGGTGTACGTCTCTACGGAACATCAGAGACAACGAGGAGAAGGACTCTGCCTTCCGCGGGATTTGCATGATGATCGGTGTGAACCCAGGAGGTGTGGTGCAGGTGAGACATTAGCACTGTAGTCATGAAGTCACGGTTTTACACCCGCAGATGTTTTCGGGCTTGCTGTCGAAACCTTCTCACCTCTTCCTCTGTTTGTTCAGGACTTCATCTTCTTCTGTGACGCAGTGGCCTCCTGGGTGAATCCTAAGGACGATTTGAGAGACATGTTCTATAAGGTGAGGAGCTCACAGTGACATGTGAGTCACTGCGACGCTGCTCTTGTTCTGCAGAGAAGTGAACATCGTTACTCTGCTTCAGCTCGATTTGTTAAGGATTGTCACCGAGTAAGGAAAACGCACTGGGCACTCTTATTCTTCTCCCGCTGCTGATTTGATGATTCCTTCTCTGGCTCGGTTGGAACAGCTAGTCCTGTTTGGCTGCTTCTTGACACCACCAGCTATTATATCAACACTGACAAAAAAATGCTCGGTACACAGAGGGGTGTGAAAAAGCAGCGGTGTTTGACCTGTGAATTAGTAAGCAGAGTCTCTGTACTGACATCCATGTACCGCCAGTTTGTTGCGACCACTACGCTACAATTGTTAGGGTAGCAATCCTCTGCGAATGTTTGGAACTTCAAGTGACCTTCAAGTGGACAGTATGAACAGAACTACCACGTGCCCGTGGTGGCTGCAGCTATCCACGGATGCCTCAGTTTGGGAGTATAACCAAGAGACGAAAATAGAAATGTAATATCGAGCGTGATATTGTCAATGATAATAAATACAAATATTATTGCACATGAAATTCAAACGTTGTATAGCAGGATGTTGACGATGTGCCTGAAATAGAAATGTCCTCTTACCTTTGCCCCTTTCCAGATCCTGCATGGGTTTAAGGAGCAGGTCGGGGAGGAGAACTGGCAGCAGTTCTCAGAGCAGTTCCCCCCACTGCTGAAGGAGCGACTGGCAGCCTGCTACGGCGTTTAGATTCTCTATACCCACCCAAGAGGTAATCCCACACACATCATTATCTTTACATATATATGTTATCATTACCCAAAGGTATACAGATGTTCATACTGAAGTAAACCTCATTGTGTCCGTCCTCCTAGGTGAGCCAGCAGGAGGAGGGTGAATGGGAAACTCATCCATCTGTGTATTGCACTGCCCTGATCTGGGGGGAGGGAGAGGGACGCTATTGGCCGCTCCCCCTGACGGACGGCCCCCACGCCCTATGTGTTTGTCCATAGAGGGAGGGTGGGCGGGTGGGAGGGTGGGATAAGAGGGACTCCTCTAGATTAACTAGGCAGGGACCCGACACAGAAAAACTAACTGGTAGGGACAGATAGAGAGGGACAGAAAGAAAGGAGACGGAGGCATACACAAGTTGGGGAAAGAGGGAGGCAGGGAGAGAGACCAGCAGAGAGACAGTTCAGGGAAAGAGAGGGAGGGAAATCCGTTACAATGCAGGGAAACAGAGCCACAGAAAGGTCTGCCACTGGGAGAACAGGGACAGTTGAGATTTTAATGGGATTGTTAAACTCGAGAGTAACCGATAGCTTGACCGACGGAGACAGACCAAAACAGACTCACACATACACTTGCACACGCTGCACACGGAACCGACTGTGGGTGGCACTATTATTTAGACTTTTTGAGACCTACTACGTGTAGTTAGGGACAGACAGACAGGGGTCTAAACTCTGTTAGTTTTCTGGGTGATATCTGTCTTTTCCGGGGAATAGGATTCACTACGAATTACTTCATCTGTAGTCACTGAATTCTACTTAGCTGTAAGATAATCTCGCTGTCCGCCTCTGTTTCCTACCTTTCATTTTTTTTTTTAGTGCTGCTTCACAGAGCTATCCATCTATCAGACATACTCCTGTCACGTTTTCTACCTGATCGAGAGAGAGGAAGAGAAAAAAAGAATGAGAGCAAGAGTCTTTCCTCGTGGCTTCACAGACACCGTTCCTCCAGTAAGGGAGGATTAGGGCTAACACATTGGTTTTCTGACCTGAGGGGAGGAAACAGTAGAAAGAAAAATCACATCCTTAGTTGTCCTCTTTGAGGGTTTGTGTGTGTGTGTGTGTGTGCGTGTGTGTGCGTGTGCATGTGCAGTTTGTAAATCCTCACTTTGTGTTAACAGTGTGTGAAATATGTATTGTTTTTGATATGGTACCGAGCTAAAACTTGACTCCCACCGCAATGTCCTTGGCACCTGTTAACTGTGACCAAGTGTTTATGTGTGTGTGCGAGAATGACTGACTGAGTGTGTATGTTTATGTCTACATTCGTACTGATACCCATTTTGATGCCATATTGATATCTTAAGTAAAACAGTAATTGGCAATGTCATTGTGATCTTTCTAATGTTTTAAAAATGGTCCATATTCTTCTTTCTTTTTTTTTTTTTCTTTTTTTGTTTTGCTGCTACTGATAATTTTTGTTTCTATAGTGGACTTAAATTTGCACAATTAACGCAAAAAAGATATTGGAATTAATGCTATTTTCAGTGACTGTTAAGTTGTTTTTGCACTTTTTATTTTATTTTACCTATTTTTTGTTTTTGTATGGACTTTTTTTTATCCTCATCCATATATGTCTTGACCCTAATGTCAGCGTTTGTCATACTGTGTTGCACTGTGAAATTAAGTGTCTTGACTGGCAAAAATATTCCAATACTAAATGGCAAATAAAAACAACTCTGTGAAACTGGGACTAATCGGCACTTTTACGATGACTAACTTTGCCATATTGCTGAGGTGTTCGGTATACGTGTGTGTGAGGTCACGCATGTGTGTGAGATACTGCATGAGTCGGTGCGCATGAGTTCCTTTTTTTTGGGCCGATGAGCATGTTTTGGATAGTTAGATGGCGTTCGTGTGATGTGTAGCGGTGCAAAAAAAGTTTCGTTTGAAGGGGTGTGTAGCCTGTCCAAGCCTACTTTGTGTGCATGCTCTGTGTATGTGTTTTCACTGTGTGTGTGTGTGTGTGTGTGTGTGTGAGAGAGAATGTGTGTGTTGGATGTATATATTTCAGAGTAATATGATTGCCCTTTACACACCAACACACCACCTCAATTCACTAGAGAGCACAACACACCATAAAAAGAGAAGCGCTAGGACACTGCCAAAGAGCAACGGACAATAATGTAGACAACCTGCTCATTCAATAATCAATATGTGCATCACAATGAAATGGACAAAGAAGGGCTTTTCAGACTAATTATGGAATAGGATTTTGCCAGTAAAATGGACTACAGGGATCTATATTTTTCCATTGATATTCTGGGTATTCCAGGGTTTAGACATTTGGAAACAATCAAACGTTGGCACTTGATTTAAACCTAGACTGTGACCACTGACATAATCGATCATTTATCACTTCAAAGACAATCTGAGGCCCAGTCTAGTTCTGTTTCCACCGTCTCCTTGTTCAGAGCTTGTACGAGAACATGTTTTGGTTGCTTGTTAATTTTAGTAGTTTTTTAGTTATTTTTGTGCAACTGATGTTGCTGTGTTTGAATCTGATGGATCCGCGTGTCTTGACTTTGAATGGTGCTGTAGTAGTCTGCTTCAGTGACACATTCATTATTGCGATGAGTTTGAAGGAGATGGGGGGGGGGGGAGAAAGACGGCTTTTTGAATATGACGACGGGAACAAAGGAGGGTTGACAGGAGATGAGCAATTAGTTTTTTCTAAATTCTGTTTATATATTCAGGAGCATGATGTTGTTGGCAGACAGACTTTGGTACCTTTGTTTTTCTGTGGGTTTCTTTCACCAGTCAATGGAAATAAAATGCTTTGAGCCTTTTATATGGTTGATAGTTTATGTATGTAAAATCTCTGGATTTTTAAAATAAATCATGTCGTGCATGCTGAAGGCCGGATGCTAGAGTTGTCAGTCTGGTGTCTTTTTTGATAAAAAGAAGTGTTTTAGAAAATAGCCGGCCCTCACAGTAGAAGCTACAGTTGTGTATGTCCACAAATAGAAACAGCCATAAATGAACAACTTTATTCCACACAGATGCACATAACTGAACCCTGAAATACGCATTTTTGATATAACTAGTGGTTTCAAGTTGTGTGAGATTAGACACTAAACGTTTACACACGCTCGGAAGCAACTGATTCATCACTCACATCTGCATTTTAAAATACTCCCTAACATGCGTTTTCTCCCAAAGCTGAGCGGCCAGCTCCAGCAGGTCCAGTCATGGGATATCACTGGAAATATGACTGAATCCACAATGTGCCCAGATCACCTTCACAGAAGCTCTGGACTGAGTAATTGGCTCAAGTAAGAGAAGATGATCAGAGTCCATCATTTCATACAGGAAGAGGCTTCGACATAGTCTAAATGTGAAAACATCTTGATGCAGAGAGCCAAAACACACCTGTTAAATCTGTAAACACATAATCATATAAATTCTAAAACACACCATCACAGGCCTCAGAATACAGCCTCCTCCTCATTAGCACAAGTTCCAGTGCTTATTATCACGCCAATTCAACACAAGCAGCCTGGTGAGCAGCATTTTAGCTCAAAAGTACAAATTATGTTTCCTTTTACTCGTCTGAAAATGTTGCATTTTTATCTGCTAGGTGGTGTAAGTAATGGTTTATTGTTATGGAGGATGAATATAGATGCGGAATAGAACGTGTAACGTGAGGCAGTGCAGTCCAATCACAGTCACCCTTTTAATGTCTTATGAATGATTTACTGTGGTGTCGAGTCAGACTGTACACTACATAATCTGTTTGCAATAATATAGCATATTCAATAAAAGTTATTCTTTCTCTGCATTGTTTCATATTCAGACTTCTACATCATTTTACAATTTTCACTATTTGTTCTATATTCAGAAAAACTTCCTGACAGCATGATTTGATAATGATCATTTTATTTTAAAATGCAACAATGATTATAATTATGTGATAAATATTTGTGTGATGTTCTGATACACCTACTGTGCAATGTACCAGCTAACTTAATACAGATGTGATGTGTTGATAGCTTTTCTCTGCCAGACAAGATCTTTTTGAATAATCTTGGTGTCAAACACTTGAGATGTCTGCCGTTATGATGATTGCAGTACCACGATTCATCCAACAGATGGAGACATAGACTGTGTTTTCACATGGAAGGCTGAAGATAGGCTGCTCGATGCAGGAGGAAGGCTGCGTGCAAATGAATACAGACGACTGTACTCGACTCAAAAATGATCCAGTCGCATTGGAGTAGCCATTAGCAGTGATGATGTGCCCCTGAACACAACGTTTGATCACAATACAGCAAAGGTAAGACATCATTTACGATTATGGCTGCTCTTCTTCGGCTGCTAGTTCAGTGAGTTATGGTCAAGTAATCTTATTGAGTGACAGAGACTTACATTGTTGGAGTCTGTAGCCTCCGCTTTGAAGATGTGCAGGTAGCATGAAGTAGTTGCATTGCTAGCACCACTATGCCTGCAATCACCTTCATCAGTTTTTGCTGTGTGCTCGTTTAGTTGCTTGGTGTTAGAATTGTGTTTCATTTTGGTAAAAGTTATTATCATGAGCTTTTAGCCAAGCTTAGATTAGCCAATCGGAGACCACATACACAATGAGAACAAGCTGTCGGTCCGTCAGAACTCTCCCACTAACGGATCCGATTCATCTCAGCACCATCATAACAGGCTTCTGTTACAGTGCTCATCATCTTTTCATCCACACCATGATATTAGTAATTGATAAGGCTCTGGGTGGAGCAGGGGAAGAGCGACCTCCTTACTTCACTGTCTACATCCCAATATGTCACTACTGTATGTCACCCTTGTACAGTAGAGGGTGAGCTTTCAGTCTGGGTTGTTTGCGTGTTGTTGAACATGGTGGAGTGTTTTGCGAAATTGTGATGCTCCTAGACGGAAGGCCAGGGTTATTAGGGGTTAACAAACACCTTGAAACAACAACAAATAAAAAGTTAGAAGAACAAAAATAAAATAGAGACATAGGAAGCTGAACAGACATGTTTCTGTGGTCACACACACCCTCTGCATACGGACCTACGTGGAAGGGGGGCGTACACACACACACACACACACACACACACACACACACACACACTTGGATAAACAGTACGATCAAAGGCACAAGAGGGTTTTAAAATACTTTGTTGATTTTTATTTTCCTGTTAATCACTTTTTCTCTGTATTTGGACCAAGAGAATATACTTTGAATTGGACAAAAATAAATAAGGAACTTTTTAACTTTTTCCGACCGACTCTTTTCTTCAACTGTTTTGGGAACTCAGAGAGGAGAGGGCTTCTCTTAAGGGGAGAGACAGCCCAGCCCCTGCGGTAAGTCTGCAGCGATCCAGCACGGCACACAACTGATTGCATACTTTATGCGCACACACACCTACAGATACCAACACCAGTTTTCTATAGTGAAGAGAGACCCGGAGAAGTCCCGCTTTATTTTGAAAGAGCTTTATATCTGTTGAGCTCTGAGCAGGGACGGATAAATTGAAATTTGATATAAAATAAATAAATTCACGCTCTCCCATGAGGCAGGGTGAGCGATTCACATAGAGAGAGACCTGAACTTCGCCTTTCTCCCCCTTCTCGCAGCCTCTCGTTGCAAATCAGGGGCGCTCACAGGGAGTGACCGGACAGCGGGGCACGTGGATCCGTGGTCACTCCGACGGCAGCTCGGGTCTGTCCGTCGCCGGCAAGGGTCCTCTCAGTTCGCGCATCCACAGCTGAGGGCCCCTTGTTCCACTTTTGTTCGTTTCAAACAAAAGGCCTCTTACTTATTTATTACTTCTTGTTTCTTGATAATTTAAAACATTTTGATAAGAAATAATTGTGAATAAATTAAATAAAAAATAATTTTTGATAATAATAAAAAAAAAAATTAAAATTGATTTTTTTTTTGTTTATTAATTAAAAATTAAAATTAAGAAAGCGTGTGTGCATGTGATATAAGCATTTTTTGAAAGCAGGCATTGTTTAGCAAGGACACAGGAGTTAAAGATAACGTGCCTTTATTGTGCACATCCCTGTTTTATAGCTATTGCATTTATATAAACAGGCTTTTCCTGTTCTGTAGCTGACCTTATTTTGCCTTTTGTTCACATCCCAACTGTTGCAGTCTAGGAAAGGGAGATGTTCTTTAAATAGCTCTTCTGAAGGCAAAAGAGGACTTTATGATCTGACATGAATTCAAATTCATCATTCGTACATTCGCAGGTCACTTGCAAACAGAAGCACACAAGAAAACCACGAAAACACAAGAATCCTTCATCGTGGCCAGCACGTTGTTATACGATGCTGTAAGCTGTTCATGTTACAGGCAGGAGTCCAGGCTTTGTTACCTGCTGAAGGGAAGTAGCTGAGGCTGATTGTTTGGTTTGTTGTTTGGTGGAGTGCAGTGGTGGAAGAATTTAGATCTTTACCTTAAGTTGCAATATTACACTGTAAAAATGTACTTAAGTAAAAGAATAATCACCAGTGTATCAAAAGTAAAAGTACTTATTGAAATGCTCTCATATCATATATTGTAGTTCAACCTTTAACAATATATAATTTAAGAAACTCACTATGTTTTTTTTGTGTAGAATTATAATCTAAAAAGTAATTAGTAACTAGAGCTGTCAAAGAAATGTAGTGGAGTAAAAAGTACTATAACGTACTATAACGTAGCTTTAAATGGAAATACTCAAGGAAAGTAAAAGTATATCAAAAAGTTCATTAAGTTAAGTTGAGCAAAGTTGCTTTCCACCACTGGTTGGTTGAGCAGCATGCTGTCAATGATAGCAACATGCTTGTTAGCTGGTTGTTGTTAGCTAGCATGCTAGCTGATGATATTACAGGAAGGCCAAAGGAAGGCTCACCCAATGGAAGGCACATTTCACAAAATATCAATAACTGACATTCAACTGTGGCATTTACACATATTCTGAAAGTTTATTTCACATAGTGAGAAGTTTCAATCAAGAACATTTGAGAGAGAAAATACTCAAAAAGCTATTATAGATCAGAGGGTCTACGATTTGTTCTTTCTTTCTCGTCAACCATCTGTCTTTTAAACATTTTTCTTTACATTGAAGAAAGAAGCACTGAGGTGATCCAACATAACATTTCATAACTTAGCCTCTTCCTTCTTCTCTGTTTTCATATTTAAATGTGATATGCTACATTGAATTGACAAACAAAATATTAGTACAACTACTTCAGGACTGGGCTGTGATGAGCTCATTGTACATTGAAATTGACATGAAACTATTATTTTGAAGAAAAAAAAAACAACGGAAAAGCGCATCTACAGAAATTACAGCCCAAATCAGACGCAGTGCACATCGGCTGTTATGCACTCATCGTCCATCGGGCTCTGAAATGACTGAACTGTGAACTGACCAGACACCATCTGCATGGACGAGTCTGCTCTGCCAGTTCTTTGTTTAATGCAGTGTATCATAAGATCCACAGAACGTGTCTTTGTCCTTATAGATACAGTAAAATAAGCATCTAGAGAATACTATTTGATATCTTACAACATAGTTTTACACAGAGCATACTTTAGGAATATTACCATTATATAATATTACTACCTGTGTCTTTTTCACATTGCTCTTTCTTTCACTGTGCCTCTGCAAGATTGAGGTACAGTATTTAAGATTATAATATGAACAATGACGAATCACGATATTATTCCTCGTTCTATGGCATTCTTGCACTTCTTCTCTTATTTTCTCCTTGCGTTCTGGGGTCAGAAGTTGCCGAAGATCTCATGTTTCTTACTCCAGTCCATAGCAGGTGCTCTCTTCTTGTTGCGGACGGCGAGGGCCTTTTGTTTAGCCTCAGCAGCTGTGGGACTCAGACGCAGGCCACTCTCCACGAACGGGTCCGAAACACGCCTGTCGTCCTCATCGTGGACCTGCAATATACACAAACGTACATGTTTCACGCACACACTCAACGACATTACATTTTCTGCTCTGTTTCTTACTTTATTTCTGTCACCTGGATGCTCATATCCGAGCTGCTGATCTCTGATTGGGTGGTGGAACTTCTTGAGGATTGAGATGCTGAGCTCCCATTCGTCCAGGATTTTGGTGATGTATTTGTGATCGGGGAGTTTGTCAGTGTGATGTTTATGACTGGTGGGTCTGAGACGGGGAGTTCAGCGGTCGAAGACGGGCTGTGTGGGGCGCTTTCTGTGGCTGATTCATCCAGATAGACCTCTGTGAGAGAGGGAACAGAGACATGTGAGACGTTTTGCCTGGAGAATAAAGAGGTGTGTGTGTGTGTGTATATGTGTGTATATGTGTGTGTGTGTGTGCACGCACGCACACAACCTGACCTTTGACATGGCTGATGGTTGGTGTGATCCCCAGTCTGTGGAAGAGCTCGTCTGTCTCCTGGTCGACCACTAGGACGCGCACTTCCCCCCCCCCCTGCTCTAATGAGAGCCACCACCTCTGAGTGCCTCAGGCCCTCAATGTTCACTCCGTTCACCTGAGACAGAGAAAACGGCAAGGCCAGAGGAAACAGTGGAGGAAAGTGAAAATGAAGAAGAGACATGGAAATTTAACCTAATGAGACAGACGGTTTTACATGGCAGAGAATGGGAAGTAGGAAGTCTCGTTTCACAGACCAGAAACAGATAGAATCTGTGATTCAAGTAGAAGCGAGTTTATTTGCATGAATTCCCTTCCTGCCTCCACACTTTTCCTCCACACAACATTAACTGTACTCCTCATACAGATGGAAACAGAAACATTCACTGCGTTTCAAATCACACACTTTCTCTTTATACTAGTACACAGCAGCTGCCCTTACAAAGTACATACTGTTGCATGCAGTATGCATTCAACTCGGACATACTACTTCATCATAACATTGCACCTTGATCTTTGACCCTCTTGCTCATATATTATTATAATTTCTTAGTTTATTTACTCTAAATCCAGCTAATCTGGTCTAATCCGTTCACACCTCAAATCAGTGCGCAGACCTGATTAATATGGGAACGGTGGCATCCTTTTTCCCATCAATTCCCTAAAATGTACCTATGACAAGATCAGTGCATGAAGTCTGCATGAATGGGGATGGGGGTCATCCTTTGGCCCCATTTATTTCAATGTGTGTGTGTGCTTTAGTTGTACCTCCACTATTCTGTCTCCAGGCCTGATGTTTCCACTCTCAGCAGCTGAGCCGGGGTCCACTGAACGCACGAGCTGTCCGTCCTTTGTCTTCTTGCTGTGCAGGTTGAAGCCGTAGCCGTGCTCCCCCTTCACCAGGTGACACAGACGGGGATGGAGCTCGACTGTCGGCTCTGGTGTGGGATGCACCTGCAGCTATAATGGGACATAAATGAAAACAAAATCAGGATATTAGAGAAGAAGGCTCTACACGTCTGTATTTTATCCGTTTATGAGGTAAACCTGTACAACCACAGGTTTCCCAGACAGACCTGAAGCTGCTTGAGTTGTGTAATCCATCACAGTGGACACGAATTTGGCATTCATGTTTTTAATCACAGTTACATTATCCATGCGCTGTGATGCAAGTGAAGATTGATCTGAATAGTCTGCCCTGTTTTATCCTGCAAAGTTTAAAATGAGCTCGACAAAACTAAATCAATGGAGACTTGATATTCATTTTGATGGATCAAGTCAAGCAAGTTTCAAGAGCCTGCAGATTTTCATATCAGACTGAAATGAATGTCTGCTTGTAATAGTATGAAAAATAAAATACATCCCGAAATAAAGTGTTTTGCATGCATTTGAAATTGCCTAGTAAAATATGTAAACAAGTTCAAACTTTTTAAAATACACTGGTCTGATGCTGTAAATATATGAACATTTTTGGGTCTGTAATCTCCGGTGATGTTGTAGTTGACTGCATTGTACTGAATGTTTTGTCCTCCTCCTACAATAAAATAACAACACCACTAACTATGGCATGAAAAATGACCAAAGAGTTTAATCAACACGTTTGTGCCAAAGGGTCAACAACAACCTGACAAGCTTCACAGCAGTAGAAGTTACTGCAGGGCTGTTCTGCTGCATTTCACTAGATTGTGCAGGTTATGGCTGTTTAATAATTAAGTATCGCATATAAACTTCATTTCACAACAATATGATCATATCAAATGATCCCTGATGTCCAAATCAGTGATTCCAAGCTAATTGTAATTAGGCAGCTATTACAGTTTGTGTTTTGTTTGATGTAATGCACACAGTCTCATATTTACTGATATTGGGAAAAGATTCACATTAACATTGTAATATGTATTTCATGTTTATTGCCCAGCCCTACCACAGGTGTGTATAGGTGTGGCTGTACGATGAGCTGAGCAGGAGAAAGAGGCTGCCGGGATGAGCCCGTGGCCTCAGATCTGAGCACAGTGGATCTGGTTGAGAGACATTAATCCTGATCCTAATGACCAACGACAAGAGTTGAGACATTGCATGACTCACCTGCTGACCAGACCTGCGCCTATACTAGGTACATGCTGTGTGTGTGTGTGTGTGTGTGTGTGTGTGTGTGTGTGTGTGTGAGTGAGTGTGAGGGAAGTTGGACTGATCCAGACTGTTGCATGGCTGTGACTGCACCACTGTGGTTATGTAAGACTAGCCTACTTTATATGGGCGTCTGCTGCCATAATAACATCATGCAACAATGAAATTGCGTCTGTATTTACATGTACAATGTGAATGACAGAAGTGGAGCGATGAGAGAGAGTGATTATGTGTGTGTGTGTGTGTCTTTTATGAACAAGCAGATGAAAAGCACAGGGGTTGTGTTGGCCTTGCATTAATATACCACAATGGTTTCTTGATCGCATCTCATCAGAAATGTCTAGAAGTTGATTTTGTATATGATCAGTACATTTTTAACAGGTGAAAAAAGTCCCAAATGAATCTAAAGACTTTCACATACAGAAAGAAAACCCTGGTCACTGAAAGGCACAGAGAAAAGGCATTTTAAAAGCCTTTAATTTGTCAGGTCTATTAATGGTGAACAGGACAGACCAAATGTCCCTCAACAGGACTTCATCACAGTGCACACTATTTCAAAATGTTAATTTCGGAAGCTTATTGCAGTAGATTTTGGTTTAAGCGTCATTCAGCTCATATTTGCTGTCAGTGGTGGTGGCAGATTGCATGGGTGCTGCTGTTACTGCGTAAGATGTTGTTTGATCTGAACTGATAAAGAGAGCCGTGATGGCCAGCCAAGGGGTAGCCTGTATTTACCCTGCCTTTGGCTAAACAGATGGCAGCTTGACGTGAGCCTCTGTGCCTGAGGATCCTGGTCCACTTTGTTTGGAGCCCAAACACTGAGCTCAATCTCTGACAGACGGTTCTCGGTTATTTCGGCAGCCTGGCTGACATTAAGACGTCACGGTCTGGTTGGCACAAATGGAAATTTAGTTTTTGCCCTGTCACACTTGCTGGCATAGAAATTAAGGAATTTGAATTGGTTTGTGTGTATTTGATAGCATAGCTAAATTGTTTCTAACTACATCTAAGTGTGCAAGTTCACAGTGAGATTGTGTGCCTCCAGCCAGCCCACAATAAACAATACAAGATACTTATCTAAAAATGTTGACTGTGCAACATTGCTATCTTAAAATCTGATCCCTCCCATGTCTTGATACTTCCTTTCCTCCCATGCAGACATTCAAACCCACTTTACACCTCCAACTAGGGCACACTTTATCACACTACTTTTCATTCAATTTGACTAAACAATACCTACAGTTCTGTATGTTTTTTGTCTTTGGTGTCGGCAGTCAGGTGGGAACAATCCTACGATTGTTTGCGTGAGGTGTTAACACTCAGTATGCACAAAGAGACGGCACTCTTTAAATACAATATGCATTTAAAATGTTCACACCCCTCCGTGACAACAGTGACTTGTAAAGCAGATGTTTGAATGACAGGGAAAGTTACAAACAGGACTATAAAACCCACTGTTCACTGTGCACAAGAGGAGGTGAGACATTCAACATTTTAATTTAAACCTGCTGTATTTACACCATCTCTATTGTCTGTTTTATTCAGTCATTCACTGTTTACTAATGTTTATTTCCTGCAGACCCCTTTTTCAACTTGCATAAGAGTGATTGTGCAGAGTTGTTCAGGTATTATCTCTGTCCAAGACATTCAGCTGAATAAAAAAAAAAATCGAATTTATTATTCTTTCAAGCCAGCCAATCTTAGCATAAATGCATTCACTGGGATGTTTTATTACACCTTTTGTGGCTTTAATTCATTTCCTTAGCTTGTCTCCCCTCCTCAGTGCACCTGAGCTTCGTGCTGGAATACCAGCAGTGCTCAAATCCAGATTAGTGCGAGACAGACATCAGGTAAAAGAGTACAGGCTCAGTGTCACCCACACTCTTAACACAGTAACACACTGGCTCTCTGCAGACTGACCCTTAGACTTCACAATTTTGACTCTTTCCTCCCTTGTCTTCAAATAAAAACGATGCAAATAATCTATAAAAGCCCATGTTGGTCTGTAGTGCGTGTGAGGGACCCACACACCAGGTTCTAATGTATTGCTGTCAAGCCTTACCTCTGTGTCTGTCCCTGTACTTGATGTCACTGAGGATCTCTTGACCGTGGCTTGTGTAGTCGTGTGTGTGGACGAGTCTGCAGCAGGAGGGTAAAAGAAGTGTGTGTGGTTGGGTTTGGGTGACGGGGGTGAGTTCTCTCTGGGTATGGGAAAGGCAGGAGTGGGCCCGGGCGAGGGTCGCGGGGACAGGGTTCCCATCTCAATGGCCAGGTCCTCGGTGCATGCCAGGCCACAGCTGCGGAGGTAGTCATCCGTGTCTCTGTCCACCACCAGCAGCCTGGTGCGGTGGGCCACTTCATGGATACGCTCCACTACCTGCAGGGAGAAGAGAGGAGTTACAGAGAGGAGCTAAAGACAACATTTAAATGATTACTGTGGTGTCATTAAGTGCATGTTGTTCACCCTGATCTATCCTACTTATAACAGTTTTTGCACAACAAAGACACCCAGTGATTCCATTACACAAGGCTCACATTGACCCATTTTAGTAGCCCCTCCTCAAGCAAAGGAAAAAGTGGTCTAACAGGTATAGAACTCATTGTTTGTACATCAGAGAGTTTAGGCGTCTCTCCTGGCCTCTCTTTACCACGCAAGCACTCGTCTGTGCATTTAAAAACAAAAACATGTATCACTTACTTGATGGTGGGTTTCCTTCTCCACATTCTCACCGTTCACCTCCACCAGCCGATCTCCTTGTCGCAGCCCGCCCAGCTCAGCACAGGAGCCGGGCTCCACTGTGCGGATGGACTGTCCACCTTTGTTCCTATCACCGAGCAGGCGGAACCCATAGCCGTGCTCTCCTTTTGTCAGGAAACAGAGCCTGGGTCTGAGCTCGCTCTCCATCCCAGCGCGTCAACAGGGGGGAAACAGGTCAAAGTGGCTCAGGAGAATAAACTGGTGATTGTCCCAAGCGCGATGGGAAGTCTCTGGCTCTTAATCCAATGTACGACTGCGCGCTCCACTGACCAAAATGTGATCATCATTTAGCATGATGTGAATCCATTAATAATCCACAATTGTTCAGAGAGCACAAATCAGAAAAATAGGCTAAAAGTAATGAGTTTTTAATCCATCATGCAACTGCCAGGGGCGCACATATGAGCGCGCAAAGATGGTGCTAAGTGTGCGTAAAGTAGCGGCGGAAAACCGCGGACAGTGTCTAAATCCCATCAATCGGAGGAATAATCCAAGAGATCAGAGATTAGAAAGCTTTTCCTCGCACGTAACACTTAATTCTCCTCGTCAGCTGGGCGTGTGTTGTCCTGTACGACCCGGCACCAGAGTGAAGAGGCGTCAACAACAGATGCCATATACGTCCCCTGCAGCGCACACCTGACGGAGCCGCGCAGCCGCGATGCGCTGGCAGAAAGTGACTAGTCGGTTACGAGTTACTGGAAAGAAAGTATTTGTTTAGAGATGATATGAGTCAAGATGCGTTTTAACTGCGGCCAAGGACATTTGCTCTGGTTAGAGTCCCTCTACAGAGGCAGCGGCTTGCCCCGTGGTGGCGGAGGTAAACCTGTGACCTTAGAACGGAAATCGTCCTTATCCGCCCTCTATTTCTGTCTCCACTGGAGATCAATGAAAGGACGGTTGCGTAAAAGGGGATTTAACGGTTCATGAAATATGAGCTCAGGATTATTTGCATTTATCCATTAAAAAAATAAGTCTAAATAATTCAGGAATGCCAAGTTTGAGGGTGTGTGTTGTTGACATTTAGATCTGAGATGAGACACCCACGAGGCAAATGTTAGTGAGGACTGCAATTTAGCTGAAATCATGTACTTCAGTAAAAGTACCGCAGTATAAAAATACTCAGTAGCCTAAGTAAAACTAAGTAAAAGTCAAGGGTTGTCAAACATGTCCTTAATTAAAAGCATAGACAAGTATTAGTAACTATAGCTCTTAAATAGTGAAGAGATAGAAGTAAATAGAGAGTAAATACACTTAATTACTTTCTACCACTGGATACAGCTGGTTTTTTTTTTTGCACTTCATGTTACCTGTGGGAAAAATCCTTAAACACATTTATTTACAGTGGCCTCTGTCTTGTGTTTTAATGTCTGCTCTTTTCCACATCAGTTAGTTTGGCTTGTAGCGAGACAAACACAAACAGCCAGTCAGCCGCAATGACCTAACAAGATGCAAATGTTATTGTTAATTACACCTGTGGTTTTCCTGCTGTAGGCCTATTACTGTAAGCAAGTATCCCCAAATAAGTACTGGCACTGTGTAGTACTTAAAGTCTCTGTGATAATTGATGTTCTTAGGGTTGTATGAAGGGTTTGTATGAATGTTCTAATTACTTTTAGTTCATGTTTTACATTTTAAGCAGGAACCAAGAAGGCTGGCTGCACAAATTCAATCATGTTCTTTATGAATAGTCTGTGGTTAAACTACTAATCACTTTAGTTCTTCACTGCGTCACTTGGGTTCTTTCCCATTCTGATATATTAAAATGCCATAAATGAGTTTACGGTTGTTGCACCAGGTAAACTCGCTCTGCTGGAATAAAGGACAAACTTTAAACACGACCTCAGTACATATATTGTTTTATTTGGTAATAAAAAATGAAACACCAGCAGTAGAAAAATATGTTATCTCATAAAGTGTAAACAGTGAAGTTATAGTGTAAGAAAACCTCAAAATACAATACTAAACATGTATATTCTGAACCTTAATTCACAGTGATGTTTTGCTTAGATGCAAGTTTTCAGTGTGTGCGAATACATTGAACTTTTATTGTACATATATACATTCAGTCTTGAGTCAGACCAAAACTTATGGGAGAACTACATCAATGGTTAACCCTATTTTTTTAGCCTCCTTCTCTGTGCTGTGGGGGAAACAGGTGTGGGCAGTGGCTCCTTCTTTGTCCTCTCACGTTTAACAGTGGATTCTTGTTCAGGTTCAGTTTTTGCTGTGAAGGAGGAGGTTGGCTTTGGAGACCGCGGGGATCCGGCTTTAGGTCTCTTCGTAGGAGAGATCTTGTGGGCGGATGGACAGCTGTACTGGTTCAGACACACAGAGCAGAGCGGGCTGACGGGGAGACAAACCTGCTGACCAAAACCCACGAGCAGCCAGTTGATCTCACTCCACAGCTCCCTACGACAGAGTGAGACAGGAACATCACAAGCTTACAATAAACCTGCATTGATTGGTTGTTGATCAGTCAACACTTAAAGTGATGAAGAGTTCCTATCAAACACCAGTCAATGATGTGCTGTATATGTACCTATAGGTCAGTCTCATCCAATCTTTAGTAGTGAATTAATCATGCCAGTACCTGGGCAGCCACTCCTCCAGGGCCTTGCGTGTTTCCTCTGGGTTCCTGGAGGGTTTCTTGAGCCAGCCCAGACGATTGGAGATACGATGCACATGTGTGTCCACGCCTAGACAAAAAAAAAATAAATCAACACTATGAATGAGGGCACGCACACACATATAGATTTGCCTTTCTACAAAACAGTAAATGTTAAATACACCTAGTCCACACGCTGTTCCATCAGACCTCTTTTATTACATTTGACTTGTAAGTGATCGTGCATGTTTCAGGAGTGTGTCCCCACCGATGCCCGACACCTGGTCCCAGGCGATGTCCATAGCCAAGTGAGCCATCTTGGGTCCAACTCCTGGCAGGCGGACCAGCCCCTCCACGCTGTCTGGGATGTCCCCTGCGAACTCTTTCTGCAGCATGGCCGATGTCAGCTTCAGATACCTCACCTTAGTCTAGAGAAGAAATGTAGGAAAAACCCTTCAATAAGGTGCACAAACGAAAACAAAGAAGGAAGGTGAGAATGTGGAAGGATATAAAAAGACTTCTGCATTACCCTCCAGAAGCCGACAGGGTAGATGAGTTTCCCCAGCGCTTCATCATCAGTGGTGAGTATATGTTCTACGGTGCAGCCGTGAGCGCGGAGCTTCTGCATGGCTGCTGCCGTCACCTGGTCCTTGGTCTGACTGGACAGCATGAGGGAAACCAACACCTGGAAACGTCTCACCTGTGCCAACAGTAGAAGGAAAAAGATGAATACATTTGAGCTATTACGTAGGCTTTAAAAAACAACAACTAAACCACACCTACATGTGCAGGAGCCTCTGGGTCGTAGCATTTCTCTGCTCCCATGTTGTCTACAGGTGCATCACGGCCGCTCCTCATCTCACGAATGTATCCCAATTGTTTCTTCCAGTCGGGAGGTTCCCAGTGTTCAGTCTTCACAGGTGTAACACCTTCATCCTTCTCGTATTCCACTTTTACCTGTCTCTTCCTGCGGCTGTGTGAAGACAGTGGTAAAGTTCCTGTTTTTGGTTGGCAGCCCCCTGAATGAGCACAGGAGAGAGGATGAGAAATATCTCACCCTGCATGGTTATACAGAAAGAAAACACGCGACGTAGCAACACGTGCGTGGTTGTGGTCCGCGAGGAGGTACTTAAATTAACTGTGTGTCATTTCTAAATAATATGACAAGTGTTCAGCTAACGTTAGTAGCCTAACGTAAACATTACCCGTTGATAAGGGGGCCGAGGAGGGTCTTTGCGCAACGATCCTCGCCTCCTCCTCCTCTTCCTCCACCTTCACCTTCACAGCCACAGAGCAGACTGGGTCCACATTACTCCGTCTGTCGGTAAGTTTGGACCGGAGAGAGCTCGCGGCATTTTGCTCACCGCTCCGCGTAATAACAGACCTGCTGTGCATGAAGTAAGGAGAGGTCATAGTAACGCACGGGACTACATGACAAGACCCTCGTGCTGCAGCGGACGTGAAGCATTTTGATCGACCTAAAGTTGGTTTCTCACTGGAAGTTTCTGGTCACGAGGGGACCAGGAAAGTTTAATCCCCTTTTGAATACATGAAAGGAAATACTACTACCATTTTCAATAATAATACAAAAAATATGATAACAATAATAACAACAACGCTATATTGTTATTATTATTATAAATAGATTACAATTACATATTTTAAATTTCAAATGTATCAAAAGCATTAATAATGCAACAGCAAGTTATAGGCGATTAGAGGGTTATGATTACTGTTTAATGAATTACAAAAAATATAAAATTTAAATTATAGGCTACATATGATAAACTAAAGTTGGCTTTGCATTTGAGAACAACTTACAATTGTTTGGGGGGGGGGGGCAACATGACAACAAAAATCAGTGAAGGCTTATGTATTTATGTCAATAAGAGTAAATTGACATTATAAAAGTTACACGATTCATTTAGATTACCATGAGGGCGTCTTGACAACGACAACAACGGAATTGTACAGTTTAAATATAAAAATGTGCTAAGATATTAGCAGTAAGATAATAGAGCTCACCGTGTTGCATGCTACTAGGAGATATACCTGTGGGATATAAAGAGGATATTAATAAACTGAAATAAACCAGATCTGCAACAGGCATGCAGTGTGAATTGGTATTTTTTATTCTATTCCAAGCTTTTACTAAATTCCAAGAAACAGAAATAAATAACATTGACCTTCTAAACTTCTCTGCAAAATATGACAATTTAAATAACCAAGGCTCAGAATCATGTAATTTAATATCTAGGACAGTGGACAGTGTCTCTTCATGATCACAAAAACCACATATTCCCCAAACAGACACATTTATCTGGAGTATTTACATGTTGTGTTTACACCAATGAGGCGGTTGAAAGGTATATAAATAGGTTTGGGTACTATTTAGTTGTTTCTAACCATCCAAAATGTATGTGTCTCTCCATTCTGTTCACAGCAATACTTTAATGCATCTTGCTTATGGTTATCTAGACCATGAAACCCAGTAACACAACAAAACTTAGTGCTTCAAAGCAATACAGTTACAAGAACTGAACTTTACCTCAAAGCTCCACTCGCAGGCAGCCTGGCGACAGTGCAGCTCGGGACTCCAATGAGGAACCAACTTCAGCATCGTTAGCATACGTAGTTAGCTGCCAGTCAACGTAGCCGTTGTGTAACGTTTTAGGCTTGAGTAACATACTTATTTGACTAGTAAGCCGTTTTACAAGGACATTGGGAACAGAACAGTGTCTTGCTTTTGTGTAGATATTTTGTCATGATCAATAAACTGAGACTAAAGGGGCTTTAGCTTGCTTGGAACTACATTTCCCATCAGTAAGAGTAATAAACGTGTTTTTAAAGGAAGTGCCCCTGTCACATCACTAGCGTGTCATCCGGTGTAGGAATGGAGGACTGAGCCTGGACGAGAACAAGCTTTCAGCAGCAAACACAGAGTTGTGCCAATGGACAGACGCAGACCGCTCTGTTGGCTGCTTAAGGACAAAGCTGCTACTCAATGAAACCGGAAGCGACTCGTCTCCAACAAGGTGAGAGGACATGTTGTTTTTTTTTTCTTTTTTTTAAAGCTACCAGACCCTGAATGCCACAGAGGAATGCTAGCTCATGACAGGGACTGTAAAGCGTAGCTAACGGTTCAACAGCGCCATGGGGCATATTTCTCCTAATTATAACGTAGAAAGTTTCTGTTGTCACGTGTCCACAGATGTAGTTTGCTCTGGTCGGAGGCCACCTTGCACCGACGCGGATGTTGTTGTTGTTGTTGTTGTTGAAGTGAAACAGAGCAGTCGTTGTTTGTCTGCTCCCCTGCCCTCCCCTCTGTCAAGTCCACATGACAGCAGATTCCCCAAACCTGCCCCCCGAGTTTACACAATTACAGACCGGGACTCCAAACGTCCCTGCCGAATAACACTAAGTGGGACACTTAAAACTGAGTTTCCCTCCAGCGGTGTCTAGATGCAGCCATGCATAATGTAATAAAAGTGTGTTGTTGAAGATTTAAAGGCAGTGAAATGCTGCCACCACCTTTCTGTTTGGTCCTGTGCCAGCGGCAAGACAATATCCACCACACAGACTTAGAGTTACAGTACAATAATATGCACCCTTGTATGAGAATATATATATAAATGTATGATCGTGGTTTCCCTCGGTCCTTTAATTGAAGAGTGGATCACTTCATCTGGGGGGAAAAAGGCCATATCTGCCAACGTTATAGAAAAACGAATGCACTTGAAGCATTAGCCTTCACTGAAGAACAGCAGAGGTGCCATTTCACACGTCTGACTTCAGACTTTCAAAGGCTGAGACAAATCTCATGAGAGGCAGTAGCTCAGTCCGTGGAAACTGGAGGGACACGCTTGTACGGAGAGAGGACTGGTAAGTGCCAGTTCGCCTCCTGGGCACTGCCGATGTGCCCTTGAGCAACGCACCGTACCCCCAAACTGCTCTCCGGGCTCTGTTTAGTAGCTGCTCAATGCTCCTGATGCTAGGATGGGTTAAATGCAGAGACTAAATGTCACTATTTTGTGATAGATTTATTTCATCATGGATAATAATAATACTTTGATTAAGGACCCAAAGAGAAGGTCCATAGCTAAAATAAAACCGAAATACTAAATACAAACAGCGGTAAACGTACAATAAAATACAGTAATACAAAACAACTATAACATGGTAATACATAAGCAGCGTCTTTATAACACAGAAATCAGCAAACCGCTCCCACATGCAAACAGGAGCGGCAGTGGCTTCAGTCAAAGTTTTGTGTTTCTGCTAAGCAGGTGGACCTTTACGAAAAATTTAAAGATCACCTGTCACGCTGTCCAAATGTCAATGAATTTGATTAAAACAACAAAGAGACGAGGATGTGAATGTCCCAGAAATGAGGGAATAAGAAGTTGACGCACACCTGCTGCTCTCCATTGCAACTGTCAAACAGTTACGTGTGCTGAAGTGATTTTGCTGCAATAATTCAACGTGTTTGTAATTTTGCGTGCTTTATCTAACCTTTAAGGTATTGGCTTTTGCTTTGCAGTCATCCAAGCTAACTGTGATGCAACATTTCCTGAAAGCGTTTCGCTCTTTCTCCAGGCAGCCGTCAGTCCCAGCCTGTGTAGACTATCAAGCCTCCAGGTTGGGCCATGAATAAACAACCAAGCAAGGAGAGTCTGAGGGACAAGGTGAAGGGGATCTTTGGGCTGGGACCCCCGCGGCCCCTGAGCAAACAGAGTGAAACCAGACCCTCAGAGTTCATCATTACGACGGACATCATCAAGGTGTGCAGAAGAGATGAGCGTCTGTGCATGTTCTTGCACACTCAAACTCACCATGCTTTTTATTTTTCCCATCATGCTTTGCTTCGTGTCATGGCCTTTCCTCTTCGTCTCTTCTTTGATGTTTTTCAGGAGCTCCAGCCGGACTGCGGTCTGAGCAACCGTGTTCGCATGATGAACCACGTCTGTGATCTTGCCAAAACCAAAAAATTTGAGGAAGTGAGTCTGTTACGGTTGTGACATTTCTTTTTTTTTTCTTACAGCGGTATGTGTTACCGTCTGTGTTTGTCTAAATCTGTGTGTGTGTGTGTGTGTGTGTGTGTGTGTGTGTGTGTGTGTTGTTTTAGCATGCAGTGGAGGCCGTATGGAAAGCTGTGGAAGATATGCTGACTCCAGAGCAGCCACCTGAGGCCAGACATGCTGTCCTGCAGTTGCTGAGGGCCATTATACACGGACAGGTATACAGACACAATATGCACACAAGCAAATGTGAATATAGTTCATGTAGTCATGCTCATTGTTTCATTGAAGGGTGAGCGGCTCGGGCCTCTGAGAGCCTACTTTTTCAATGTGATCAGAGACTACCAGCCGTGCAATGAGGACCTCTCTGATAGGCTGGAAGTCTTCAAGGCCTTAACTGAGAATGGGAAAGACATCACTTACCTGGAAGAGGACATAGGTACAAAACAACAACAAATAAACTGACTTAAGAAATCTGTGTGGTCTTAGGTTGGGTACTAGTTAGTTGTATTTGTTCAAGCAAATATGAACCACTGTTGTAGCAATGTTTGTCATTGTAAAATGACCGTTTCTTTACACACCTATTATTCTTTGCTCTGTTATTTCCTCTCCTCCAGCACGCTTTGTCCTCCTGTGGATGGACATAGGTCTCACCTCTGACTTTCTCCACGTTCTCGTAAATCTGGTGAAGTTCAACAGCTGCTACCTGGACCAAAATGTCTCCGTCATGGTCCAGTGAGTCAGACGCAGACAGACAGACATACACACTACTGTTTCTCTTTCCCAGAAAATGTTATTAACGTGCATGTTTGTGCTTCTTCTGTTGTGCTCTCTGAAGGAAAATCTGTCTCCTGTGCAATAGAACAACTTCTTCAACAGATATCGAGGTGGGCATTTGTTTTGTTTCTCTCTTCATTTTAGTTTTTAGATTTCTTTTTAGACTTTTTCTGCTGTAAAGTTACTGTTGTTCTTCTCTGGTAATAAGATGCATTACTGAGCCAATTAAGTCATTCAGAGGCTCACAGGTCCAACAAATAATGTAAGAACTTTCCAAACTTTAAATGTACAAAAACACTGGTCCAAAGCCATTACTTACAGTAAATGTAGAAAATGTTTAATAGTCAAATAACCTGAAATCAAACGGTTCATTCTACTTAAGTTGTGTGGTCCTACTTATAACCATGAATACCATGTTTGCTTAATGTGTATTTATAAGCACCATGTCGTCATAGCAAAGTGAGGCACAGAGGGAAGAGTTGTTGTTTCATCGGGTGTTTCTCTGACTCTCAAATGTTAGCAGAGTGCATGTTTGTGGGTCTGGGTTGTTGATTTGCAGTAACGTGCTAAACTCCTCAGTTATCTACAGGTTTTGAAACATGCTGAGTGCAACATTTCCACGATTAGAGAACAGTGAAAGCCTGCAGATGTCTTGAGGTGACAGCACGACTCTTGTATAGTGCTGATTACATTT